TAGTTGAGGTGTGCAAAAAAAAAAAAATTAAAGGAGCTCCGTCCTCCTGCGCACCCCCTCCCCATAATTCGAACACTGATTGTAATATGTATACCATTATGCTATAATCTATTGTAATTTACAAATAGTGTAACAAGGATTTCAGTTTTATACTTTTTAAATAATTCTAGCTAATAATTCTAGCTTTTTTGTTGGTCATACTTTACAAAAAAAAAAAAAAATGTATCATGCTTCCAAAAATATTAAAATAAAATAAAAAATACTTAAAATTAAAAATAAATTAAATAAAAATAAATATTTAATTAATATAAATTAATAATAATTTCAATTTTAATTATTTAAAATCTAACATAAATGCTACAATTTATGTTTTATGTAACATGATTTTGCAGCACGTTAAATAGACAAAGACAATCAAATGAGATGAAATCCTCTTAATATAAAAAATGCTCAACCAAACCGAATTGATTTATAGTTTTTTTTATTTATACACCAACTCAATTTAAAACATTGTGATAATTATAATATGGATAAATATTAATACTATTTTAGGGTAAAAGTTAAAACGTCATTTGTTTACCAAAAACATAAAATACCTAACACTTTCTATAAATTAATATTGGTTATTAAAATTGTGTATTTAAATTATTATAAGAAAGTTTGAAACAATTATAATTGATTTTTAGCTTTTGCACCAAGGGCAGATGGGCCCATCAACTCTTACCAAACGTTGCCAGATGGCTTCAAGCCAAACAGACCTTAGACTATCATCTAACACAGGCCCTATCCGGGCATGGTTGTTTTAAAGAATACCTCCACCAGATGCATCACGCAGAGGACGAACAATGTGTGTACTGCGAGGCCGTTGACACCGCAAAACACACTGTTCCACTGCGACGAGTGGTAGGAACATAGGAACCCGGTTAGCCAATTCATCGAAGGTCGGGCAGTCCAACTGCCCAACGTGAAGGACCTGTTATGTGGATCAAAGGATCAACTAAGGAACATGGGTCTCGCAGCAGAAAGGGCACGGCTTGCGTTCTTTAAAATAGTGATCAACATCGTCTAGAGGAAGGAGGACGCGAGAGACAGGGAAACCGCAACACCGACCTGAACACGGAGGGCGCATCTGAACAGATGCACGGGGTAGAGACGAGACCGGCCATGTGCCACCCCTCCGTTCTATACCTCACCCTCCCGTATTTTGGCACCAAGGATGGAGGGACCACGAACCACAACGGATCCGTGGCAACCCAACATTATAATCTATACACGACTAAATGTAGCGCGGTCGCGACTCTTATCCATAAGTTTTTGTAAACACTTCGGTGTAGCGCTCGCTGTCCCCGTGGCGTCGTCGATTTCAAATAAAAAAAAAAACAAAAAAAAAAACGATTTTTAGCTTTTAAAACATACAGGTATCTTTAAAATATACTTATAAAACGATTATTTTTTATACAATACAAACAAAAAAATGTGTTTATACAAGTCATATATTTTTAAGGATAATATACAACAAACACAATGTGGTTTAAACTTTAAGTAATAAATTAAAGCCCATAATATAAATAATTAATTAGGAACTCATATTTTTATAATATTTTTTTAAGGATAAAAATTATATTCGAAAACTTTCTAAAATAAATGTAGTATTTTTCTTAAACCATTATGTGTACGTATGCAATAGTTTAGTAGAGTGGCATATACCTATTTTATTAATATTTCAAAAAAAAAAAAAATTAAGCAACAAATATGCACTCAAAAATATTGTTAACATTGATTATACAGCATGGTACTCACAAATTATTTAAAATAGAAAATAAAAATAATATTATAGTCATAAATAAAGATAAAATTGTAGTAAACAAGTATTATAAACAGACTAGATATTTTGCATTGTGATAAAGTGACTAATAAACTATAGTATGTAGAGTCTGTCAGTTGTTATATTCATTATTAAATCATTGTTCATAACTAACTGTATAATACATTAATAAAATGTTTTATAACTGAATAATAACATTCAAAAAATAATAAGCTTAGTTCTACTAATGTATTACACAAAAAGTATCAACCCTTTAATACCTACAAATATATGTATTTATCAAATTATTTTAATACCTATAAAATATGTCTTCAAGTATTATATTAGTAGGCTGCATTTGACTATACAATAATTTGTATAGAATATTCAACAAAATAGAAATGGTTTGCCAAATACATTAAATATGACTTATATACATATTTTACAAAACAGAAGTTAACGAATAACATAATTTTCATCTCTTTTTTTAAAATATTCACTTGAGTATTCACTATTTATTTTTAAAAAGGAAGAGTTTTAGATAAAATAAAATAAAAATTATTTCATAACTAAAAAATTGAATTTTTACCATATATCATTAAAATTTTGATATGGAAACAGTAATCAGAATCAATTAAAAAATATTAAATTATAAATATATTTTAAATTTAAAATAACTAGCAAAGCACATTTTTAATCCAATTTCAGATAGAACTCTAGAAGATTTGAAGACTAAATAATAATAATGAAGAATTATCTGGATTAGAAGACTAAAATATAATAGAGGATCCAATACTTATAAAATAATATATTAATATGAATTTGTGAAATGAAAACACTGGAAAATTTGAAAATGGTTTCATTTATATTTTAGAATCAATCGGAAATCATTTCTAGTTTATGGGACACCCAAAAATTTGGAAATTTTTTTGGGGGACTTAGTCATATTTTGGGTGAAAAAAATAATGGTAAAATTGGAATTTGGCGCAAGAACTTGGTTTTGAAATTATAGTTAGTTAAAGTTTATAACTTTATACTAAAACTCTTCAATACTCCTTATGCTTTAACAATAATGTTTTAAAATGTTGCGCAATGGTAGCAACAATGATTATTTTTCAACGAAACCGAGTTCGATCACCGTAAAGGACTAACAAATTTTTGTACTTTTTTTTTTAACGATAACTTTTTTATCTGGTTTTGGTCTCTTATCTTAATGAAAATTGTTTACATTTTTTTTCGAAAAGTTGGAACTGTAATTTTAAAAATTTTAGGACTTCGCTCGTAACGCCTACCGGCTTCACTCACAAACTCGAGTGCCACTACGGGGCACTTTTCGGGGGGATGGGGCTTCGCTCCAAGAGGAATTAAAGTCTAAGCCTAACCTAGTTTTTGTACAAACCTTGATAATGTTGCGGATGGGATTATGATTTGTATGTGAAACTAAAACCTCGCTGCGCGAGTAAATCACATGTTTCGACCACAAATATAAGGTATTAAAAAAAAATATTTTATTACACAATTAAAAAGATCTATTATAAATGAAGCATAAAACCGATAGGCAAATGACAAATTCAAACTTTAAATAATAATAATGATCAAATTAATAAAATAATATTATTGAATACCATGGTACATTAAAAAAAAAGTGCAAAAAATTTTCAAGAGATATGGGATTTGAAACTCTTGACACTTACTGCCTAGAAATAGTTACATTGCCACTTGGCTGCAGCATCGCATTTGAAAGTTTAATATGTTCTAAGTTATTTAATATAATATATAATAACTTTAAAGTGTAATAACTTCAAAACTATGTCCGAGCGCCAAATTTTAACTTTGCCATCATTTTCAGCGTACTTAACTACAAAAGTTAAAAAAAAAAATTGCAAAAAATAAGGTGTCCCGTAAAGTAGAAATATACCAATCAATCTGTTTGACATTAACCAATTAACAATTGCAGAAAAACTAATTAAACATTATGATTTACTACTGGAATGAAGATGTAAGTATACAATATTATCTTGTCTGGGAATTTAAATTAAATAACTAGATTAAATATTCATCTTATAAATTATTTTAATAAATAAACCTACATTTTAAAACAATATTACTATTTTCTGAATTAACTATCAAAAAATTTTGTGATTGTTCACTTGTATGCTTATTATTTTTTTGTAACAATAATAATTATGATAATATTTACAATGTTAAATAATAGACAAATAAAAACATTTAATGTAACAGGAAGGGTTTTGAATTTGGGAAAAATAAGCATTTTCTGCAGGTATTTGATAGGAATAATGAAGTAAGATTAAGTTAGTTTTATGAGTAAAATATTTAAATTATAAATTAAACTTTTTAACTTCTATTTCTTATTGTGATACCACAAAAAAAGTATTATACAATCGACTATCGAGAAATCGTGGTAGCAAGGTAACTGATGTTTTAAAGTTGAATGGAACATTACAAAACTTCCATTTTGTCATATTAATTATAATACTAATATTACTAATAATACATCAGCTATTTCACGTCTTCAAAATAAATCATTTTTTTTCATACGTAGAATTTGTAAAAACCTCAGAACAATTGGGGGGTCACAACCCTCAAACCTCACCCATAGTTGCGCCACTGTCTTATACAATAATAATTTCTGAACTAATAAATGGAATATTTAATATAACACACTAGAATATATTATATATATAATATATATAGAATGATATATTACTACATATTTTATTTTAAAAATTTAGAATGACTTTTATTTTAATTTTTTAAAAATTAACATTTGTTCTACAACTAAGCTTACATGTTATATATATTATTATTATAAAACTGTAAAAACAATGAAAAATAATATAATGAATTAGTGAGTCAAAAAAATTAATTGGTTTATATGTAGCTTTCTCCTACATAGATACCACAAATAGGGCATATTCTACTGAATTTAAATTAGTTTATAATAGTTATTTGAACTTAAGCTGAAGTATAAAGTGGTGATTAAATTTAAAAAAAAATGTAATTGTAAATCAAACATCATATTAATCCTATACATTTTGTTTGAACACTATCTACTATGAAATTAAAAAAACTCTGACCTACATAATATCAAAACTGTTTTCCTCTATCACAAATGAATAATTCAACAGGAGCAATTTTGTAGAATTAATTGTACAAAAACTTATGAAACACTTACCTCATTGAGCCAACTGTTGTCAATATGACTATTGACTATTGAACTGGAAGATGAGAAAAAGCATACAACACTCATATACAGGCATATGTTGACAACCAGTATGAACACACAGTTCATACTTCGTAGCATCATTTTCTGTCTGTAAGGTTATGTGTCTAACAGTCACGTTCAATGAATTACTATTCTTGTCCAAGTAGAACTAAACACAAAATACGAGCAGTCCACTGCAGGATGTTATTAATGCGTTATTTGCGTTAATCAACCAGTGAAACGTTGAGGTACATTCATCATAGTCCATTGTTTTAAAATAGTATGGAATTGTAGGAATATCGGTTTGAGCGAGAGACTACGTAGATTTTCCAGAATGTGTGTACACAACAATATTTTGTGTCAAATATTACGTTCATACAGAGAAGAGAAACAAAATAAAATCGAAATTAAACCAACAACGACGGAAATGATCAGTCGCAATAACAACAAAACTACTCGCGTTATCAACGCACACTGAGAACGGTTATCATTTATATCACGGCACACAGACCAATTCTGGTTGTCGGGCAACAGTAACACGTCAGTGAATTCGCATTGTTATCGTCACACAATATTGTTACCAACTCGGTACACCGAATCCGAGATAAAGTAATTAAATAGAGTATTGCATCACTTAAAAATGTTGATGATCGGTTTCCAAAAATACTCTATTACTAAATTGTCTATAATCGAATTACCATGATATAAGGTCGTTTATTTAGTCCAATTACTTTAGCAGCTTGTATTTTACTTAAGAAAGAAATATTTTCGAAATTTAAACTATTTTGAAATGGAAACATTTTATGTGATCAATGTCTAAGCATAGGTACGTTTTTTCTTGAAGAAATGTATACTTAAGAATTTTTGTGAACAGCTAAATTTCGACCTCGTTTACTTTTAACAATTTGTTATTTTTAAATCATTTGATACAAAATAGTCAGCCAACAGTAGTTTTTAGTTTTTTAGCGTTATTCTTACTTATTAAAGATAAACAATTATGGCAGTGGTGCCCAAGGCCCTTGGGCCACTTGTGACCCGCGAAGGTATTCAATGTGGCCCGTTACAATTTTTTTTTTTTAAATAAAACAAAATATAAAAAAAAAATTATTATAAAATACGATTTTTTTAATTTGTATTAATTTACTATCGAACATTTTCAAATAGAAATTTTACGATATAACCCGTGCACTTAAAAGAGCGTACCTACAAATCAAATTAATATTTACCTATAACGCATGTACCCTAATCTGTAATATTTTTAGTCGTCAATAAAATATTTGTAAACAAATTCAATATGTACCTACATGTATATTGTATACCTACTATTTGTAACAAAATAACATTAGATTAATATTGATATTATTTGTACTTTTATATTTGGTAGTAGTGGCGGATTGAGAAAATTTATATTTGGAGTGCACATATTAATTCAGGCAACTTACCTACATTTTAAACACTGCCACTACCACCAGGGGCGCTCGCAGGGGGGAAAGGGACCATGCACCCCCCCTATTTTTTTTCCACTATAAAAGAGAAAAACCTGGGGAGGGGAAATAATCAGTATATTATATTAGGTATATTTTCGAATGGATATTATGTACGTTTTTACATTTGCCTCATAATATAAGTTAAGATTGGGGCTGACGTAAATAATACAATATAGGTAGGTACGCAACTAAAAATTGATGGGGAAAATGAACATGAAACAAAATACCAATTTATTAAGGCAAATAAATTTATTCTTAATTATTTTTCACATAAAATAGTTTATGTAATTATTTCTATATAAATAAATAATATTCTATTTAAAGTTTAAACTATGTACGTTCTTCAATTTTTTGTGTCCTTTTCTATAAATTACTTAAATTTTAATAAAATAAGTCTTTATAGTTCCAAAATTAACAATTAATATAAAGTAATACCTACAAAATTTATTATCTAACAATCAAACAGCGCAGACGCGGATCCAGCCTACCTTATCGGGGGGGGGGGATTATAAATAAGTATACATATTTAGATACCTACTGCTAAATACGAGTATATTATATTATTATATATATATATATATATATATAAATAGTTATAAATGCAATAGTACATAATGCAATTCCTGATTATTTATAAATTTATAATGAATAATTTTTTTTGGATGGTAAAGACGACTCACTTGAATCCACTGCTATTCGATTTTTATTTTCCTCAGTTGTTCGATCATCATTTTCCACAGTACTTGCACTAGTTGCATTTTTCTTTTTAAAAAAATGTGTAATATCGACATTTTTCCTCTTAGACATTATGTTTTTGTTCAATAAACGAATAAAATGAAATAATTACAGTATAACAACTTACTACTATAATACAAACGTCACCAATTAAATTAAAAGAATAAATCGCGGTCACTTTTAACGGCGTATTACGAGAAATATAATTTCGATTACTAAGAAAATTATACGTAATACAAGTACGCATGTATATCTACGGTTGTCAAACTAAAGACTAAAGAGTGTCTAATCTAATGTCAACAGTCAACACAACAATTATTACTATTATAGGTACTGCTAGAAATTAACTGATATCTGTATTATAAATATGTATATTTCAGACAGTCAGGAATAAGGAAGATTTTAATATCTGTAAACAAAATAAACAAGGAATTTCATACTATTTTTAGGATAAAACTATGAGTCGGTTGGGCTGGCCGGCTGGTGGTTGTCGTCGCTCATACGGTCGCAATAATATTGTTGTTATCGACACTTCATATATTTATGTTATAAAAATAAAAGACGAAAATTTGACAATAACAATTAACAATACATTAGAATGGTATAACACAAAATAATGTAATTTAATAGTACAACAAATTAGATACAACACATCTTGATACGGCTTCCGGGGGGGAGCCTACCGCCCCCCTGGATCCGCGCCTGAAACAGCAGCTTACCGTTACCTAGCTATAATAGTAAAACTAAAAATACAGCAAATAAATGTAGATACATCAGTCAGTGGCGTATATAGGGGGGTGCCTAGTGAGTTACAACCCCCCTAAACGTTTTAAAAAATTTAAAAGGTACACAGTCACACAAGCCGAATAATAAGAACGTTCAAATGATAATCTATATTGTGGTCTTCCAAGTTCTAATTCAAAATACTTCATGAAGTAAATATAAATAGATAATAAATCTATAAATCATTATTTATAAATAGCTAGTGTATAGAAAATCAAAATTAATAAGCTGAAACGGGTACTTCTGAGGTTTAGCCAATCTTTTTTTTGTTAATTTATCACTACGCTGTTTCAATCGACTCAAACTTTATCGCCAATATTTTAGTTGTATTAGATTTAGATATACCAATATTATTACTAATTGTATAATTTATTTAGCTATTAGCTATTATTAGTTGTTGCGGGCTTCGGCCTACGGAACGCAGATAACAGACCGGTTTTTGCCCGTTGTCGATACAGACGTCGCCCGTCTTAGTTATTATACTATCCGCTGTATTTCTATAGCAGCATATCCCAAAAGAGGGCCTATCAAGTTTTCTACATTTTATATTCTACTTTCCGCTTTATAACCACTATTTGAGTAATCAATAATATAAATAAAATTTTATTCCACCATCTGAAGTATAAGAATTTAACTATAGGCGAGCGTGGAATTTTTTTTTTTTTGATACCTATATTATTAGTATTTAAAAATATGGGGTTAAAAACTACATTTTCAAAATTTTGATAAAAAAAAAAAATTTTAAAAAAGTTAAAAAAACAAAAACTCAACGCTCAGACCTTGTAAATATTTTCATCTTTCCTAATCCGTAATAATTTCGTAATTTCTGAATTTATTATATAAGCTGTTATTTCTTTCCTAATATACTCAATTAACTCATTTTGTATGTGATAACTTATATAAGTTGCTTTTTCATGAGCAGATTTTAAATGTTGTTCAAGAACTGTATCACCTGATGATATTTTAAACTTCAGAAGTTCCCTGAAATTCCCTTGGTTAGTAATTGATAGAGCGCGGATTTGTATGCACTTAAAAGTAACGAAATATGCCATATAATATGCAGTAAAAATCATGAAAATATGCAAAAAATATGCAGTCAAAAACATGAAAATATGTAAAAAAATGAAGTCAAAATTATGAAAATATGCAAAAAATATGCAAGAATTTTTTATTTATTTAAAATTTATAATTCAACTTATAAAAATTAATTACTTAAATACTTAATACAAAAAAATTTAGGGAATTTTCTTAACTTAATTTATTTTTAAAATTTTATTTATTATTAAAATAAATAGTCATATACATTTCAAGTTTATCTTCTGTGAAGCTATGTCGTTTATCGGTTAACATATTTTTAAAGACTGAAAACGAACCTTCGATGTCAACCGAAGTTATTGGAGCATATTTGAAGCAAGTGGTATGTCGATAATCGACTGACACAGTAAGAGCGATTAAGTTTACGTCGTTATCGATTATTTATTTTATAACTAAATATATATATATATATATAAATTATTATTTAGTGACTATGAATTTTTTTTTTTAATTTTTCTACTAGACAAAATATTATTTTATACATTTCTTTTTAAATTTTCACTTCAATATGCAATAAATTTTGAATTTTGCCAAAAATATGCAATAATCTCTAAATATGCAGAAATATGCAAAAAAAAATTTCACCATTAGCTTCAAATTATGATGATTCGTGGAGATAACTGACAAAAATCCAAAAATATTGAAAGAAAAAAAGTATGCGATTGCATAGAAATCCGCGTTCTAGTAATTGATGTAGACTTTGAACTTAGATCTGAGAAAAAAGAGCTGGAAAAAAGATGACCATCATCTCTATAACCTCTAAGGGCAATATTTTGACGACCAAGGAACATGATGGATTCAATAATAGGTTTTAAACGTTGTTGATTTTCTTACCTATTTTTTTACCATAGTCTAATTGGAGGGTTAGCCCGTAAAGTGGTTACACCAGATTGTAGGGCAAATCTTTTGAAGGTAAATATTAAAAATTATTTACATCCTCGCCCATATCTTGGATATGAATTTGAGGAGAAATGTAGGTTATTAAAGATGAGACCAGACGTAGAAAACATTATCCGTGGTACAATCATAAATTTTATAATTAACTTGGTCACTGAACTTCAAAAAAGGTTTCCAGACAATTTATCAATATTACAAAACACTTCACTTTTAAGTCTAGCAAAATGCCTAAATATGACGAAAGATTCAATTGCATCATTGGCAAAATTAATGAACTTTGAGTCACACAATATATCTAAAATCGAATCACAGTGGACAAAAATAAATTTAATTCAATGGAAATCTATAACATCTACTGAATCTTTGTGGGCTGAGATTTGCATCTATACAGATAGTTCAGGTATCAATCCATTCAATGAACTTTGTAAATTAGCAAAATGCCTTTTAGTCCTTCCATAGTTAAATGCGGAAGTTGAATGTATTAGTCGTGTACAAATTGCATTCAAGTGTATATTTAAGTTGTCATTAATTAATTCAAATCGCGATGGTGAAGTTTTTTTGAATGAATATTTTTGATATTAAAATTTACATATTATAATAAATATAAATAACTTATTTATTTTATTTACTGATATAATATATATGCATGTATATATTTTTTTTTATGTCCATTTGTCCTCACGTCTAAACGGCTACGTTCATTTGTCCTAGATTGGCTCTGCAATCCTTCTAAAAACTGACTTCGACGCCACTGATTTCAAAACTGGAATATATTGATCTAATTTATTTCTACATCTGTAAACCCTTGACTATCCCACTACTTCTATGAGACTAGATTAGTTTACTAATTTCTGTAATAAGTCTATCGGTGTAGTTTTTTCAAAACAAATATGTAAAACTAACCTTGTTTTACAGGTACAAGCGTGCTGTTAATTTAAAAAGAAAAGTTTTGTTTTATTAAATGTTAGTTTTTTGGCTGAACTTATAATAAAATTAACCTACCGTGATAAGTAGAAAGGTGCATTAGTAGGTATATCATAAGAATAATTAATTGTATCTACCTACCTAATGTAAAATTTCTATCTTCTCTCATAATAGTGTAACGTAATTACCTGGATACGGTTAAAGGCAGATGTGTGTTTTTTATAAAATACAATACTTAAATCCATAACTGCAATACTACAAAATGTCTAATCATTCATTTGAAGTCCCTTGGAACGATACCAATCCGTTACTCGAAAATACTCCAAAGAATCCAGTAATTTGTGAGCTCGTCTGTCAATTAGAAAAATTATTACAGGAAAGAAAAAAAAATAGTTGCCCTTCTGATGATATGGACATTAGAATATTATCAGCCATTGAATGTGCAATGAACAACGTCAAGTTACTGATAGAAAAACAAGACTTAACGGACCAGCAAAAACGGTATTTAGTAAAAAAAAGTAGGTTAATGATTAAAGAGGCAAGCAATGTCATTGAAAAATCTTTAAAACTGCGATCACATTGAGATACAAGTTTATTTTACAAGATACGAGAAAAAAGCTGAAATATATTATATTTTATATTTATTAATATAATACATTAATAAAAATAACAAAACTTATAACAATGTTGATTAAATTATTTTACGTGGTAATGATCGACTATAGAATGACAACTAGTTAAACCAAGATGAATTAGATTTAGAGACGGAACTTTTTATGATTGAAGACGAATTTCGTCCCATTTCAAACACTCCTAAATATCCTCATATTAATAGATCTCCATACCAAGTTCTAAAGTTTCTTTCCATTCTAATGTGGATTTCCAGGATTTTCCTCACTTAGATGTTCACATTAAATCTAAAAAATTTAGATTTCCTACTAATCATAGTGTTAATCAATATTCTTCTTTTTCAGATTCAGCCTTCTTAAATTTTTAAAATTATTTTTCGTTACCTAATGGGTTTTTTTTTTAAATTATTCATAGCAATAAAATGCTTCGAATTTGTCTTCTCTTTCTAAATTATAATGAGTCTCCAATTTTGCCATCCAACTGTCCTTAATTATTTTCAATTCCAAAATGTAGTATCCAAACTTTCCTTATCTAATGTCGTTGAGACTACTCTTTAATTTCTGTCAATTCCTACGATGACCGAAGATGTCGACGAGTTTTAACACCATTATTAGCGCTGGTTCTACTATTATAATATCGATATTAATTTCCTTCAAAGGAATGTGAGTAGTATTCTTCTCAGAGTTTGTCGGCTATTAAGACCATCCCGTCACACTTGTGAGTAGTATTAAGATCAGGTTTTTAGATTTAAATAGCCTAATTTCAAATTATCCTTGTCTTTTTCTATTTCTTTTTGAAATTTAGCTTCATCTTAATTCTAGTTTTAAGTCAAATTATTACCACAATTATCGGTCAGATCGCCTTGACGGCTATTGCTATTTGTAAGGCCTTTCAGTTTCATTCTATTACTCTTCCTCCTTTACTATCTGCGATATTATTTCAGCATAATATTAATTTGGTAGGTTTTGATTTGACTCCCGTCTTGTTCCTCGGTCCATATTGCTATAGTCGATCTATATCCTCCCAGTTCCAACCTTTCAATTACAATCTTAGATCGTATTTTTTCTTTTTTACCCTTCAACTCCCTTCTTGCAGATGATTTCAACGATCACCATTCTGAGTGGAGTCTAGCTCAACCTAGAGGTATTCTTTTACACATTGCTATCATATCTTACGGTTTCTCGATTCTCAACGATGGATCACTCTCTCATATAAATTGTCCTCCTTGCAATAACACTACCCTGGACATTCTCCAAATAATTTCACTTGAAAAGAGTTCGGAAACGATTTCCAATCCTTTCCGTAGCGATCATCTTCCTATATTTATTTCGTGTTTTCTCCACTTTTTGCCTATTTTTTCCTTTCACTATTCATCCTTAACCTCCTCCGGTTTTAATCTAAATAAGACTTACTGTTTATTATTTTCTTCATTCGTTTCTGGCAATCTATCCAATTAATTTGTCATTTCTATTCCAATATTAGAGTTTGAATAGTTCTCTGGCTTGGATTTTCAGGCTGCCTCATTAGCTATCCCGCGTAAACGTAATTCAAAGGGTTTCAAAACGTTTCCTCCTTCGTCTGTGTAGTGTAATTCTAACTACACATTTGCAGTTGAAGCCCATTCCGTTTGTTTCGTATAAGTCATTCCATGGGTGATTTTTTTAAAGTACCAAAGTGTATAAGTTTCCACGCGATCCTTTCTTCCATTTAGTTTAAATGCATTATTTAATGATTTCATCACGAATCATTATCCCAAATATTGTTTAGTTTTCACCGACAGATCGGTTTCGACTATCTCCGCTGATTACTCTTTTTTCATTTTAAGTATTTCTATAAAATTTTCCAATAACATTCCCTTGTCTGCTTCTTCTTTCACATCCGAATGCTTTGTTATAATAAATGCTCTCCGCACTATTAAATCTCTACCTAATCGTAATTTTGTCACCTTATTTGATTCCCAACCTTGTCTCATAGTAAACAATTCTTCTGTTGCTAGTGATGGTTTTATAATTATTTTGTTATAGGTCACCAGTCATACCGGTATTATTTAGTTACGATTTAGTGGATTTTCTCGCTACTCCATTATTTCACCTGTTAAGATACCCTGTTTTGACTTTTTACTAACTCTTAAATTTTATGTCTCAAGATTTTGAGTTAACCTACCTCCAAAATTTGCAGTGTCTTTTCTTTCAGTTTATTCTGCTATTTTACCCTTCCCCTAGTTACACAATATTTCAATATAGCGCAAAATAAAAGTTTCCTATTCTCGCCTTCGGTTTGGCCATAATCACCTCTCGGCTTACTCCTTTTATCTATCCTTGAATGATCCTCTTAATTTCACTCATCACGAGGACCTTATTAAATGCAATACTTCCCATCTACTATTTAATTGTCCTGGTCTACCACATAGCTACCGTCTTCTTTCCATTATATGTCTTACCAATTATGATCCCTTTGCTTCACCATTTGTCATCCAATCTTCAAACGTTCTCTCAATTAAATCCATTATCAACTTTTTAATGTTCTGAGAGGATTTTTTATTATAATTTAATTGTTATGTATATTAAAAATTAATGATTGAGATAAATATATTTATATATAAATTTTCAAAAATAAAAAAGTGAAAAATCATTCTGAAAAAATAATAACTAATGATATTTTTGTGGATGGTTATTTTTGAAAAGTTTGACAATGTTTGATTTAATTTGACAGCTAGATATGGAAGTCAGGTTCTACATTCTAGGCGATTTCGGTATTTGGTTTTGATAAACATTATCGGTTGAAAACCCTGTTTCTTATAAATAAGATGTAGAAAATGATAGGATAAATGTTACAGCTTTTTGATTCAAATCTTTAAAACTTGTAAAATTATTTTGATTTTCGTATGAAATGGGGTGTCCTTAAAATGAGCTCGCAGTGCTCTTTGGGCATAGCGATGCATAATTTTAAAACCATTGCCTAAGATAAAATAATTATATTTGTAAATTACCCATACTTTTCAATATTATTATATTTTGTCAAATAGTTATGTTTTTAGTTCATTTTATTATGGAATAAAAGATTTAAATTTAAATTTGATAGGAAATGACAATTAGAGGTAATGTAATAGGTGAAGACGAGAACTTTAAATATTTAGGATCATTTGTACAAAAGTACGGGGGCTTTGGCATGTGTGTAAAACAAAGGATTAAATACGATTGGATGAAATAGAGAAAAAGCATTGGTCATTTTATGTAATAAGAGAATTCCAATGAGGCTGAAAGATAAATTGTACAGGAGTGGAGATTTAGGACAACGGTGGCCAATCCCAAATAGTTGGGAAAAAGCCGAGGGAGAAGTAGAAAAAAATTTAATTTAAAAATATCTAAAGGAAGTTATTTTGTGTTTAAAAATTATATTAAAATTAATTCATATAATTATGTCCAGTAACTGGATATATAAAAATATTTTTTTGAAAAATGTGTTTTTCAAACACTAACATTTTTAACTGGGGATTGCTAGATTTTTTAAAAAAAAATTAAGCTCTACCAACTTGTTATAATATTTTAAAAATAACAAAGATGACAAAACTTATAATCAGCCCTCGGGACTGATAACATTTGCTCTTATTTTTATGGATTGACTTAAAATGTAGCAGAGCGCTATAGAAGTGTGTGTCAAGTTAAAACACGTACAATTGGAAATTTGAAAGTGCCTTTTTTTGCTTTTTTCAAAAAAAATGCTTATTTTTGCTTATTTGACCAGTTTTAATACGTTTTGATAGTTTACTCCTGCAAAGTCGTTTTTGATAGCATTAAAATTAAAAATAATTCTTATCTTATCTACGTTATCACGTAGTTCGTCGCAACAAAGATGTTCCAACGCTGAAAATAGAACTGAGTGTCAAACTAGGGCTGTTCGATTTTTTTTTTTACCACTTGATTATAATTTTTAAGTTTTAATAGATTATTTCGATTAATCGAAAATTAATATTCCAACCGAAAATCGATTTTTAACGACTGATCAATTGATAACCGATTTTTTTAATACCTAAATAACCGATTAATCGATTATTTTTTATTGACTGATCAACCGATTGATTTTTTTTAATGACTGATTAACCGATTAATCGACTTTTTTACAATGGATAAATTGATTCCTTAACTTCTATATAATTTTCAACAAGATTTGCAGGATGACTTGTTGATATAGATGTCCACTTTTATAATATTATCCGTATTCCGAATCATTGAACTCAGAACATCATATTAGCATTTAGCACAGATTTAAAATTTAAGTATGTAATCAGGAAATCTAATATTATTAGCATTAATTGAGAACATCACGTCATATTTTAAGAATAATCTGAATCTGATAATATTTGTAAGTTTAAATAAAGCATTTTACAGTTGATAAGACTAAACAGTAACTATAACAATATAAATTATAAATAATAAGTTGTGAATATATTAATGTTGCTGTGTAATAATGTATAAAGTATATTATAATTATTATTTATATTATATGTAACAATTTCATTTTTCCATTAAAAATCTAAAAAAATAATTTACTTTGAACTTAGGGGCATCAATTATGCTTACTATGGCTATAATTATTATTATTTTTTTTTTAAGAAACTTTGTATATTTACAATTAGCTTCAACAATTATATATTAAGTTAACATAATACATAAATATAAACGTTACAATAATTTTAAGGAAAAGGAATAGGAGAAGAAGATGAAAGTAAGTGGTTGACAACTGTGGTTAAGAGAAGTAATAAGGGTATTAATAAGTAAGTAATAAGTAATAAGTAATTAGCTTTAAAATCCTCGAGAAATTTGGAGATTAGGCTTTTGGGCATAGTTGTTGAGATTGAAGTGTTGACAGTAACATTGGCATATGAACATTTTTGTTTCAGGTTGGAACTGGAGATGATTTTGTTTATAGACGGAATGGTGTGATTGAGCACCAGATGACAATAAGTTTTGAGTGGTGGAGATTTTCTGCGGTTTTTACTCAGTTTTTAAATACTGGATATCCTTTGTATGAGGCTGTGTGCGGCCCCAAACATAAGGCACACTTAGCGGACTCTGATGGTGATATGGTACATTCTGAAGTGTAATGGTTTTCTCCACATTTAACACAACGTGGGGATTGGTGGCAAAAATTACTGGTGTGATAATAAGCTTGACAATCATAGCATTGTAGAGGGGAGGATATTTTCGTGGACAGCTAAATTTTGATTCTGGTGTGAAGAAGCAAATCTAATTTGAGAATATCACTGTTGTTATCAGCAACTTTTAGATCAATTCGAAAAAGAGGCTAAGGTCTTTTAGTGGTACGATGTACTATATTAGAGACCCGAATAACTTCATGGCCAATATCAAATAAGCTGACTTGTATGTCTTTCACAGCAGTGGACGGGTAGAGGTGCCTTATAAATACAGCAAATGGTTTCAAACTATTAGGCAAGTATATGTGGAAATTTATCTGTTTATTAGTGATAAGATAATTATAAACTAAATTATAATTATTGATGCCGTCGGTGCGGATAATCAGGTGTTTTGGGGTATTTTTAAAATTAATAACCGAAGGAATGACCAGGTCGAGTAAGGATTTCTTGAGCGTGTAAAATTCGTAGCCACCGCTTAAATAGAAAGGAGTTGCAAAAAAAAATTTATTTTACTTGGAGTGATTTCCACGTGACCGGGCAATGCGTTGCACAGGACTTTGGAAGGTGTTGCGATAACGGGAGGGTTATACACCTCCTGATCGAAAATGTTGTCTTCGGAGAGTGAAGCATAGCGATTTGATGTGATGAATACTTTGGTTGCCGCTAGATTTTGTGGGTGAAGATGACGAAGAGAATAAATTGCGTTTCGAATTATTCCGAGACATATTTTAAATAATTAATAATATTAGATTAGGCTCATTAATGTAGTGTAAAAAAGATAACGGACAAACAAAAACGACGTCTGTTTATGTTGGACGATGAATGTAAACTAGACTATAATTATTAATAATAATATTTCATAAATTATAAGGAATTGGAACAAATTTTTTGTTCATCGATAAATAAATAAGTTGAGAACAATGATCTTCAGTAAGTGATGCCCTCTAATCAGTAACTATGTTATCTGCACGGCTAAACACTCTCTCTGATGCTACACTAGTGGCTTGTATACACATCAATTTATTTGCCATTACTTTCAAAAATGGAAACATTGTTCCATTTAGATGCCACCATGTAATTGGACATTGTTCATAGTCAATTTTTGGTAGATTAAAATATGCATTTATCTAATTTTCTACTTTGTCGCCAATAGATAGTTTCTGGACAGAAAGAATACAAAACAGCACACGTTGTAATAAATAATACATATATATATATATACAAATAAATTATCCATTAAAATAATGAAAATATATTTTATGTTTTAAAACTATATAAAAACAATAACAATATAGATAGGTTAAAAGGTATATAATAAAAAAGGGCATATATGTACATTTTAAACGACATATTAAACATTAATATAAACATTAAACATTTTAACGAACATATTTTACTCAACATTTAAAATTATTTGTAATTTGTATATTATATTTATAAAGTATGTGGCGGTAACCGGGTGGTCTAACGAATTCAAAAATTCAACTGGATAGTTAAATGAATGATATTACAAATGTTTTACCCGTACCACCGGGCGCATCCAAAAAGTACAATCCACTGGCTTCATTTTGTACTGCTTGCATGATGGTATCGTACACATTTTTTTGTTGGTTCATTATACTTTCCTTTATGTGATTTTTTGACGTGGATCCACAAATTTGTAGTGTTTAAAAAACTTTTAAAACACATATCACAAGTCGCCCTGTATTCACATTCAGATTTAGTGAAAACATTCCACACTAAACTCATCTTCGAGTGAAATCGAGAATAAAATAATAGTCAATAATGACTAAATTGTAATATAATTACTATATATTTATAGTAATATTTAACTCAATATACGAATATTGGAAAACGATTAATACGAATAACAAAATATTACAAATTAGGTATGATTGATACTTTAATAGCAGATAGACGTAAGACAAGATATATGCCTAGCAGCCATGTAGAAGTTAAAAACACCCAAAATGGAATACAAAATTCCCAAAGTGCTAAAAATAGAATTTCATTCGCACCATCAAAACAACGATTAGTCGGCTTGATTATTCGAAAAATTCGATTATTTGATTAATCAGAAATTCGATTACTTCAATTTTCTTATTAATCGAAAATTCGATTATTTCGATTATTTGGTGATTAATCGAATTTTATAAAAACTGTAAAATAATCGAAGTGAGAAAAAAATAATCGTAATAATCAATTAAGAGAAATAATCAAATAGCCCTATGTCAAACGTCAGAATGATCAAGAACAGAGAGAACAGTTTACATTTTATTTTTATTTTGTTTGATTTTTTAGTTAAAATTTTTTTTTTTTTTAAATAAATATATTTGCTTAATTTTAAATTTTCTAAATGCTTATTTTAGTGCTTATAATGATGTTTTTAAGCACTTATTTTAATGATTTTAAGTGCTATAAGTCCCGAACTCTGCTTATAATATAATAAATCAAACAAACAAACAAAACAAAAAAAATAATAAATAGTTTTTAATTTCAAAAATACTATAGACATTTTGGTCTTTTTTGAATGAAAATAGTTTCAATGTATTATGATTTTTATACACTTTATTATCACATATTAAAAAAGTGATGGAAAAACAAAAATATAATAATCCTTAAATTAGTTATTAATTTTATATTAAAATAGACTTATGAGATAGCTCTTAGAGTTAATTTTAACAACAAAACATATAAGTGAACATAAAGTGACATAATAAATTGTACAAGATACAATTAAAAAAAAAAAAAGTGTAGAAAAAAAATCTTTCCATAGACAAATTAATAATAAATTTTTATTTAAATAATCACTATGAAATTATGTTTTGAAAATTTCGGTTTTACAATTTATTTTATGGAACTACTGATGATTCAAATTAATTTACTATTTAATAAATACATATGATTGGTGATGTAGAACGAGTTGTGATGTAAAAAAAGAGTTAACCTTTTCATATATACTTAGTTATACATAATAAAAACTAAAGATTGTTTTCATCATAGAGAGGTAATTATTTTTAAACCAAATTAATACAAATAGATAATAATAATAACAATAATAAAAGGAAAAACGGTTTCTTCAACATAGTACCTATGTAATAAGATGTAAATAGTACTAAAAAAAAAAATTAATTTAGATACTTGCGACATTTTCTTGAAAGGCAGCGACATTTAATTTTATCATCTTCTAATGGAAATTTATAGTCATATGTAAGTTCTTCGCCTTGGAGTACTTTTCTTTTGGCCCAAATTATTATATGTTTTTTACCATGTATGAATTCAATTTTAGAATTACAATTGGGCTGTTTGGTAAAAATATTTTGTAGAATCATAATTCATAATAAAAATAACAGATATAATTTGAACGAATTATATATTTACCTCACATGAGTGATTAATAAATCGAGAGGAATTTCCATTCATTGTGGCATCTACAACAATATCCTGATCAATCCTGAACATATAACAATCAATTCCTTTTTTGTTATAAAGCCTCTCACGCACATCACTTACTTCTGAACGAATAACCTAAAAGGTTTTAACAAAATTGTATTTCTATTATATTTAATAATAAAAAAATATTAATACTCACTTCTCCTGTATATTCAATAATATTTTCTCCTTGTTCGATGTCTCTCAAACAAAATAGTCCTCGCCCATGTATATCAGATCTATATACACCAACATTATTTGTTAATGTTTTATTTTTATTCCAACATTTTACTTCATTGAGTAAGGAATTAGAACGACGACCATCGGAGTCTTCTTTAATCGTTGATAATTTGGGACGTTTTCTGTGCCTAGAAGCTAACCAGCTGAACATATCATAATTGTTTTTTCTAACAACTATTCCTGTGCGAGCACAACCTGATGGAATTTCTTTAGTTGAGCCAACAACATCAACATCTTTATATGTTGGTTTGCATTTAACAAATTCTTTTGCACCTGAAAGTTGTTCTAAAAGGTACTTCAAAAAATCACTGCTCAGGCCTAAAGATCGAATCGCTGCTGTCATATCGTTTGAATTACTGGAAGACAATTTTAAGACGATTTCAATAAGTGAACGATTTTTATAGAATTCATCATCAGCAGAGTTCATTTCAAATATAAGATGAGAATTTTTAGTTTTCGTTCTGCAACAGACGATAAACATTGGCAACTTATTATTTTAGAATTAGAATTTTGAGATGATTTTTCTTGAATATTTGTTAATTCTCGATTTAATTTAAAATACTTTTTCACTTTTATTTATGATAATGATATTGACATGCGTTCCGCGAGAAATATTAGATAAGAACAATCAGTGGTTTCCAAAAATCTATTTAAGAATTTTTTTGTGAAATAATTTAAAAAATATTAATAAAAAATAGGTAGAATATGAATTGTTTTCGGTAAATGGTATGTTACTTGGAAGTAATCCAAGTGATGACTATTGACTTTACTTATTCTTTCTTCTACAAATACAACTTTAATCATTGATTTTTCTACAGTTATTGTACAGTTGGTAGTATATAAAGTGTTAGAAAATAATTTCACAGAAAATAAATAACTAGAAAAATATTTGATTGAAAATAATTTAATAGAAATATAATTGTAGTTGAATTTAAATTAAATGAAAATAATTTTATAGTAAATAAAAGTAGGGAAAAAGAAAAATTGGATTACTAATCTTATGGAAAATAATTGGTTGGAAAATATTAATGGATGAATCATAAAATTTTAGAACGCTTTAAAATAGAATACTAAAGACGGAGAAAGCTAATGGGTACCGTAAAAACCTAAAATTGTGGATGGATAAAATATGGAACGCTAAAAGTGCGGAAATCCAATATATTAGAAAATTAAAATTACTAGAATTAAATTTTTTATCAGATTGATTTTTTTTTCAAATTGAACAAAAGGCTATATAATAAAGTTAATACATTTTAATTTAATTTCAAGTCTATATACAATTATTATTGTGTTAGAGTATGACAACTGCAAGTAGTCGCTCCCTACGTCAGCCGATTATAGTCACTAAGCTCGAGGTCCTTATGTTCTATAAGGTTATACGGACCTCTCAATTGAGGTCGACCTCCATACATCCCTAGGGGTGGAAATAATCCACATTGAGGACAGACCTCTCCACGGTCATGGGGGTGGTTGTGTGGATGCAGGTGAACTATTGCGTTATAGGCATTCGATATGTTAAAGGCATTTTCATATGGTTGCCCCTAGAGTGCCTTAATAAATCTCTATCAAAGCTCTCTAGTTACCCCGTGTGTAGATCCGCCACTGCTTAAGGTAGGTATAAGGGATCTTTGCAACGGCTTATCTGAGTTGTAATCATGGAGGGCATTAATTTTTCTTCCATATAAACTTAAAAATAATTTACTGTTGATTAAGTATTATTGTGTATAGAAAAACAACGGCCATGGGGGGGGGCGCAAATGCCCAATTGCCCCTATATATGCCCTTTAATTTAAGGTACAATGATCATTTTCATTGATTTTTAGGTTTCCAATTATTTAATTTCCTGTAAATTATTATTATTTATTTTTATTATTATTATATTTTGTGTATATCTTCCATGATTTTAGGTTTCCAATAATTTATTTTCCTATCAATTATTTTCTAACAAATCTTTTTTCTATTCAATTATATTTTTAATATCCAAAAAAATATTTTCATAAACCTTGGCATTCTTTAATTTTATTTTCCGTACTTTTAGAGTTCCCATCAATTTAGTTTCCAAACATTTAGCACCTCCCGTACAGTTTAATTGGTTTTTTTTTTAATGATGATAATAAACTTATAAATAATAATGAAAGAATTAGGTTATAGGATAGATAATAGGATATGGACCAGTGGTACTGAGTTACCCGAATTAAAAATATTTAAAAAGGGCTACAATTTCTAAATATCAGTCCAGTTGCGTACTACAAAGAAAGATGGAATAGCGATTTTTACCCAAAAAAATATTGATGTTAGATTTTAATTTTGTCATGAAATTTTCATACGGTTTGGTAGCCAAACTTTGGCTCAATATGAAGCAGCCTTTTCTACATTATCAAAAAATGTCAATATAAGGTTTGGCACCACTGATATGGACTAAAATTGTTGATTTTAATCATAAAAATTGAGGCGATTTTCTTCCTATCCATGATATATTTATTCTTTAATAATGCAATTGTATTATTGATGTGTGTGGTATTTTAAGAAGTATAAGAATTGAAATATAAGATTATTATTTAAAATTTTTTTCGACTTACAACTTAAGTTTTAAAAATAAAATTACTTCATTTAATTGATCAATAATAATAATATAATTGCAAGTTCAATGGCTGTTTTTTATTGGTACATTTATTTATTTTTTATTTATTAAATTAACGCCTGTAGGCTCAAGTACATTAAAGTAAGATAAAATAACGTACCTAATGAATGAATAATTATTGATAAAATACTCTATGACTACTATTTTGTATTTATTACAGGCTAATAACCTCAGGAGTTGAAGCTTTATTTAAATAAAAAAAAAAAAAAAAAAAATTATTGATAAAGTTAATAAACATGACATAAAGAAAGAACTACAATTAGTACAATATAAAATAATTAAAGTAAGATAACTTAAAATTTTAATGAGTAACAGTGCTTATATATAATTAAACAAATAAATCACTATCATTACGCCTGTTACATAAACGAGATATCCGATCAATAGGGCAGGCTTTATTGTAAGATGCAGCAGGACACTAATTGTGCATTAGGAACAATAAAATGTACTGTAGATTTAACAAACATGTGCAATTGAAATGTACAACAAAATTTACTTTACCGAAGGTATTTAAAATTAGGCATATGTTATTTTATAACGTGAAATCATCGGTTAGTGGCCCGAAATCGACTGACGACTACACGCATCGTCATTGGCGTTGATCATGTTAAAAAGTTATTAGCAGTAGACGCATCCAGCTTTGAATATTTTTGTTTACTACTTAATGTGATTTTGTACTTAGAAAATAGAAATAATGTAATATCGCATTATCACCGATCGTTGTCGATTATCTCCAACCTTACATTTTATTTCTTGAAACCGTAAATATTCATACAGAATCATCTTTACCATTAGGTAAGATATACAACTGAGAACAGCCTCCGTTATTTGGGGATCTCAGATTAAAATGAACCTTTTTTTTTTTAGAATACAACTTGCATCGTATAAAATAAATATAAGCAAAATATATTGTTAAAAAAAAAAAAAAAAAATCAGCATAAAATACCACATTTTTTATTTTATCTTTAGACTTCTAAATGTCTTAATCAGCCCCTACATTATGCTTTAATTTTTTCATTTATACGAGGTAACACAACAAGTGAACAAGAAGTCAGTTGTTTTGCATCATTCACGGGCTTGTCATTGTCATCAAGGTTATAACTATTAATTAATATTAATACGTAGATTTTTATATGTTATATAATTGCTATTTTTACTTTGTGACGGCTCGTGTACAAATGACTATACGTGAATGGTGCGATTACAGTGACTATTTTTCGGAGTGCACAATAAATATAATTGTTAATTTGAGTTTATAAAATAACAGAAGAAATTATGAACGCAAAATATAGTTTATACTTTATAGGTCATTGTGTTATGACAAATTAGGTACACAGTTTTATTTTTAAGGGTGCACATTTGAGATTTCAGTGGGCAAAAAGTGTGTTGTAGGGCACATATTTTAATGCAAAAATTGATATCGAATTCATCTATTTGTATATATTATTAGAAAATGTTAATTGAAATTCACTTGTCTTCGTGTTATACTTGTTTATATTAATCCGTTGCGGTCGTTGGTAGTTTGGTACATAATATGTAAGCGTAATGATCACATAAATAAAATTTCTTGCATCAGTTCAATGGCGTCATTTAAGTTCTTAATATAAAGGGACTAAATGTGTTGACCAGCTTAAATAGATAAATTAAAAAAAATTTATTGCTGCGCTCGCAATCAAATTTCTACTTACATCTTCATTACATTACTATTTCTGTCTTACATATTTTTTAATTTGGATATTATTTTCTTTAATCTTTATCTACTCGAAGTCCCTGAATCATCACTAGTTTCCTTTGAACAATTATTTTCTACAAATTAAAATTTTTTATTTAGGTATTTATATTTTATAGTATAAATTTATATAAATTATATAATTATACCTAATATAAACTTTTGTTAATTATTGTAATTATTATTGTAAGAGACGATTTGCCCGTTCTTGAATTATCAATAAAAATAAATAAATGATAAACATGACGTCAAATTGTTTGAATAGTAGGTAAGTGAAACCGATGTTGGCTACTTTCACGTCTTTGGATTTATTATCTGCTTTATCAGAATCAATAAAATGAGCGTGGATAGTGTGGGGCGAAGCCCCCTTGTAACATATATTTTATTTGTTCAGTTGGAAAAAATCCCTACAATAAAGTTTGCAATATAGTTGTTGGAACCATAAGAGGTGTGGTGAAACAGGATTGAGAAGGTAGAAGGGATGGACCGGTAGTTGAATGCAGGGATATGCAAGTTAAGATGTAACAATTCTGGGCAAACAATAGTACCTTTTATAGTTTTCGAAAGGAAGGAAACATAAATTAACCCACGTCTAGTGCCGAGTAATACCAAATTAAGGCTTGCCTGAATATCAGATAAAGTGGAAGAAGAACTGGGCAGGCTAGGATCAAAACCAAGTCGTTTCCAGTGTTGGGGAAGTTACTTATTTTGGGTAACGTTCAACAGAAGCGCTTGAGGGTAAAGCAGTATTATACTTCAAAAAAATTAATCTCATTATTGGCATGTTTTTTAAAATAGTTAAATCATAATTTATTTTTTTTTTTTTATAAGGCTTAGTATAGACCATTAAGGCCCTATTCCGCAACTACCAACTCCTCCCATCGTTCTCTATCTTTTGCTATCTCTTCCGGATTCTCAACTCCTATTAGCCTTAGGTCTTGATATACTCGGTCACTCCATCGTTGTCTCGGTCGGCTGAGGGGTCTCTTTTTGTTTGGTTTCCATAAAGTTATTTTATTTAAAATTTTTCCTTCAGCACGCCAGACATGTCCTGCCCATCCGATTCTTTTGCTCTTCATTACTGTTAATATGTCCGGTTGGTCGTATATTTCATATGGATCATCATTAGTTCTACGTTCAAATTCATTGGTTTCCTCATTCTTTTTAGAGCCATATATTTGTCTTAGTACTTTCCTTTCGAATATTGCCAGGTTTTTTTCGTCTGTTTCTGTTGAGGGCCATACCTCGCATGCGTAAAAAGCAATAGGCCTGACAAGTACTTTATACATTATTATTTTCGATTTTTTGAGAAGATTCTAGATTTAAAGAGTGGTCTTAGCATTCCAAAACATCTATTAGCTGCAGTTATTCTTCTTTGTACTTCAATGTGTCCCCCATTGATTGTGTCCAGTCCTATTCCAAGGTATTTAAAAGTTTCTACTCTTTCAAATCTCATTTGTCCTTCTATTAATTCTATTTGGTTGTGAATTCTGCGTGATAATATCATGTACTTTGTCTTACTCTCATTAATTACTAATCTCATATCTTTACTTTTTTCTATTAGGTCTGCTGTTGACGTTTTCAGGTTTGCTTCCGATTTAGCTACTATCATAATATCATCTGCATATGCCATTATCGTTACTTCGGTGTTTTCCTGGATTTTAACCCCTGTGTTGGATTCTATAACAGCTCTTACCACATATTCTAAGGCTATATTAAATAGCATAGGAGAAAGTGCATCACCTTGTCTTAAACCATTTTCTACGCTGTATTCTTCCAAAATTTGCTAATTGTATCTGATTCTACATTTTGAATTTGTAGTGCAGATTTGTATAAGTTTTACCATTTTCTCCGGGATTCCAAATTTCAGCATCACAGCCCACAAGGATTCTCTGGTGATTGAGTCATAAGTTTGTTTGTAGTCAATGAAAAGGATAAATAAGTCTTGATTGAATTCGTAGCTTTTTTCCATTAGCTGTTTTGCTATATGAATTTGGTCTAATGTAGATTTTCCTTTTGTGAATCCGGCTTGGTACTCTCCTACTATATCTTTTGCATAGGGTATTAGCCTGTTTAATAATACATTGGACAATATCTTATATGCTGTGCAGAGTAAAGATATTCTCCTATAATTCGTGCAGTCCAACGCATCTCCCTTTTTGTATATTGGGCATAAAATAGAAGTATTCCATTGTACCGGCAATGTTTCTTCTTTCCATATTTTCCGAATTATATTTACTATCTGTTGTGTTAAAGCTTGACCATCTTTTTTAAGAAGCTCTGGGACTATAACATTCTCTCCTGGAGATTTTCCGTTTTTGAGCATTTGTATGGCCCACTCTGTCTCGTCATCTGTTGGTTCGATCAGATCTTGTTTTATTATATCTGGTTCTGGTATTACTGTTGTCATGTTCTTCTTGTTTAGTAATTCTGTAAAGGTGCTTTTGAATTTGTTGACCACTTCGTTTGGGTTTGTTATTAATGTTCCATCATCATTTTTTATTATAGTTGTCCTCTGTTTGAAACCGACCTAGCTCGTTTGCTTCTCCGTAGAAAATTTTTGGGTTACTCCTGTAATTGCTTTCAATTCATTCAATTTTGTGTCTTTCTCATTGTCTTTTAATTATTCTCAGGGTCTTTTCTGCTTCTCGTTGCATATTAGCCAATTGTATTTTATTTTCTTCGTTTGGATCTCTTAACATTATGAAGTAAACCCTATCTCGTTCTTCTAAAGCCTTCTTGCAGTCATCATCAAACCATTTATTCCTTTTCTTTTCTTTTTGTTTGAAACCCAGTATTTTCTTTGCGGTGTTTTTATAGTTTGTCCTAAGTTCTTCTATTGAGTGTCAGCATTATCTTCCGTTGTTTCCTTTTGTCGTTGTATGTTTTGTGCAATATTTTCTCTGAAGTTCTTGGCTATTTCTGGGTTTTTTATTTCTTTTATATTAAACTGCTTTTTAAACAATTTTTCTTTCCTCTTTCTAACTGCTAATCTTATTTTGATTTTGATCTTCACTAAAAAATGGTCCAAATTACCGCTTACTCCCCTGTGACTTCTTACATCCGTTATGTATCTTCTCCTTTTTGCGTCAATCAGTACATGGTCAATTTGGTTTTTAACCATTCCGTTAGGGGATACCCAAGTTTCTTTATGTATGTTTTGGCGAGAGAAGCAGGTGCTACTGATTATCATATTTAATGCTAAAGCTAAGTTTATTAACCTTTCCCCATTGTTGTTAGACGTATCGTGTAAACTTTCTTTTCCAATGATCCGTTTGAGAGTTGGTTCCTTTCCAATTTTTGCGTTAAAGTCTCCGATCATTATTTTTATGTGGTTATTTGGTAGTGTACAATATATTCTTTCTATATTTTCATAAAATTCACTTTTTTGGTCTTCGTCTTTATCTTTTGTAGGCCCATAGCAGTTAATTAGTATTATTTTAAACCATTTACATTGCATTTCTAGGTAGCAAATTCTATCATTGTTAGCTTTAAATCTCTTAACATTTTGTAGTATTTGATCATTTACTATGAAACCAACTCCTCTTTCATGTTTAGTTCCTCCTGTGCCAGTCAACCTTACTTCTTGAATAACTGTAATCGCCAGTCTATATCGGTCAAGGTCCGATAAGACTGTTGTTAAGGCGCCGGTCCTGTAGAGATATCGCACATTCCAAGTTCCGATAATTAAATCCGTTAATCCATTATTCATCCGAGGCATGGTTAGCTGTTTTTTATCAAATTTTTTTTTACACGTGGGGTTGTTGACCCTACGGCAACCCCCGTTAAGGAGGGTCCTCCACTATGTGTGGGGAAGGAAGGGGGGACGGGCTTCAGTATCACGATCTTAGTAGTTACCTACAGTAGAACCCCTCTAATCCGTCACCTTTGGGACTGGAGATATGGTCGGAACGCGAAAAAGGTCGGATTATCAGAATATACAGACAATTTTTATTTAGAATTGAATATTAAATTTATTTGTATTCAGAAATAATTACACATATAAATGTACTATTGTATAAATGTATTATTTTAATATAAATTACTTAGAAAAAAAGTCAGTTATAGATTTTTGTTTAGAGAATGTAATTCTAGACTTAGCTGCAATATTTCTCCATTTCTTGATCCACAAAATGTCCATAGGTGTTGAGGTTGAGCTCTGCTCTATGTACTGAAGGGCAATATCAAAAGCATTCTTGGCATCGGTGTGTGAAATCTGGGTAGGGGGTTCGTCAGCATCACCGTCCGAGTCCTCGTTCACAGTTTCTTCACCGTTATTTTCCAAAACGGCGGTAATAATCTGATCGTCATTAAGATTTTCACTTGTTTCACAGTTTTTGTCACATTGGACAATCCATTCCTCAACTTCACTGGCAGGGAAATTCGGTTGTACACTTTGTAGATCTTTTATTATTTCTTGCGTGTCGTTGTTTTGTTCATCTTCGATCTGGTCACTTTCAATCATAACTTCCGGCCAAAGCTTACGCCAAGATTTTTGCATAGTGTCAGGTTTTAGTTCCTCCCACGAATCAGCAATCGTATAGATAGCATCTTTGATATTAAGGGATTTCATTGATTCAAATATGTTAAAACCTTCTTCGGACTTTTCTAAAATTGAACTGATGTACTTTCTGCGATACCGCCTCTTTAATCATTTTATAACTCCTTGATCCATTGGTTGAATAAGTGATGTGACATTTGGAGGAAGGAAGATAGCTTTTATGTCCTCTTTCACTAATTCCTCCTCAGATGGATGTGATGGTGCATTATCCAATAGAAATAGAGCACGAACAGGGAGATTTTTTTGTTTCAAGTATTTTTCAACAGATGGAATGAACTCATCGATAAACCAAGATTTGAAAAGATTGGAATCCATCCAAGCAGATTTTTGACTGCGATAATAAACCGGCAAGGAAGATAAATTTATGTTTTTGAATGCCCTTGGCTTCTTAGATTTACCAATAACGAACAAAGGAAGCTTGTGTGTACCGTCAGCGTTGCTGCAAGGAGCAATGGTTAGCCTATCTTTTATAAGTTTCGTTCCTGCAACGGTATCATTTGATGAAGCGAGCGTTTTGTTTGGCAGCATTTTATAGTTTAGGCCTGTCTCATCTATATTAAAGACTTGGCAAGGTAACAGTTCATATTCTTCGACAATTTCTTGAAATTTCACAGAAAAATTCTTGGCTGCCTCAGCATCAGCGGATAGTTTTTCACCAGAAATTGAAACAAACCGGACGCCATGACAGGTTTTCCAGCGATCAATCCAGCCTTCACTAGCGGCGAACTCACTTTCGGCTTCTAGTTTTTTGTGCAAAGCTATTGCCTTTTCTTTTATTATGGGCCCAGATATTGGAGTTCCTTTTCTTCTTTGTTGGCAAAACCACATCCACAATGCATTGTCAAGCAGTTCAAGTTTAGGTTTTTTCAATGTTTTGCGTTTTTTAAGAGCGTTTTCACCATCTATAGTCACTGTATATGATTCAATGTCTTTCCGATTTTTTCTCCAATCTTTTATCGTCGGAACGCCTACATTGAGTTCTTTGGCAATTTTTTGAAGTGATTCCCCTTTGTCCAGTCTTTGTAGCACTGCTAATTTTTCATTTAGTGAAAGAGTAACGTGTTTACGTTTCATACCTGACATGTTGAAAATACACACAACTGTACACAATGCAAAACAAATATGTATGTATATTATATACGTACGTAATTTAATAATATAATAAAATATAATACACGTTATAAACACAGAACACAGTCGTAACAAAAGGAGTACTAAACTACTAAAGTGGATATGCGTTAAGGGAAATATTAAACTGGCAATTAATTTTATAAATCAACTATAAATTGGAAAATCCAAATGTATTTTTAAAGTATTAATATCAATAGTACTATGGTCGGATTAACCGGAGTGGCGGACCAACCGAGGGCGGATTAGAGGGGTTCTACTGTACTTATCTGAGACGACATTTGATATCCTTCAGGCTACCCGTCCCCATAACTGGAGTCCACGGGATTGTCACACCCATTACCCATATGGGTACCCCTGCGGTGTAAATCACCATTAAAAGGAGTAAATAAAAAACGTTTAAGTTCAGTGTTAGAATGCTCATGTTTTATATCTTCATCAAAAATAATGTTATCATTGACTTCCTCAACTTGATTTTGCTCTAAAGTATTATCATTAACAGGTTTGAAATATTCTATTTCACTTTGAAGGGTGTCAGTGGCTCTTTATTTTTCCATTACAGATATACCTTTAAACTTTTATTGTTCTTAACATATATTAAACAAAAAAAAATTAACGAGTAATTTAGTAATAATTACTACAAATAAGTAATTTAAATTATATTTGAATTACTTACAATAAAATGTAATTAAATTACCATCAAATTACTTAAAAAGTAATTTCGTTACAGTAACTAGTAACTTAAGTTAAGTTATTCCCCAACACTGGTCGTTTCTTATAGCCAATGAGCCGCAAGAAACGTTTTTGCACCCTATCCAGTGATTCAATATATCCAATTTGCGTGGGGTTCCATAAAACTGAACAATACTCTAAGAGAGGTCTGACTAGTAACACATACAAGGTTTTAAGACAATGTTCATCATTAAATTCTTTAGTGCATCTGATTAAAAAGCCAAGGCACTTTAAAGCTTTGGTGCACGATTTATCAATATGAGACGAAAATGAAAGGTTCGATTGAAAAATAACTCCGAGATCCTGAATGGTATTTACTTCAACCAATTTATCATCAAGTATATGATAGTCATGATTTATTTTGTTGCGAGATCGGGTATAGGACATTTTTAGACATTTGAAAGTATTTAATTTCAGACCGTTATCAATACACTTAACATATTATTAAGATATTTTTGAATAAGATAACAGTCTTCGAAACATTAGCGAAAAGTAAGTGACCACAATATTTAAAACAAGAACCAGTATCCAAAATAAAGATGGCAAACACTAAGGAAGAGACATGTCCACCTCGAGGAACGCCAGAAAGAGCAGGAAAGGGATGTGACAAAAACCATTAATCCTAACTTTTTGGATTCTATCTGATAGATAACTATTGAACCAGGATAACAAAGGATCAGAAATACCGTGCAACCGCAGCTTCGTTAATAGTAGAGAGTGATTTACAGAATCGAATGCTTTACTGAAATCGGTGTATGACATCAGTTTGTTTACACGATTCCACGGATTTTAATATACCATTATAGAAACAAAGAAGACAAACAAATAAGAACTTTTGATATAACACCAGAAAGATTTGGGATCCGACGTGAGATCTGACTGAATTTTATGTAGATATTGGGTACGACAATTTTTGGATTCTCTTTTGCATAAAACACGAACACAGGGAAATTCATTATACTTAAAGAGATCATTCGTAACTGTGAACTCTTTATGAATACGTTTTTTCTTCAAGATTAATGTTTTAAGCTCATTATTATACCAAGGGGGAAAACTAGATTTTTGATTCAAACATTTCGGAGTATACTATTAAGTTTCTACTTTAACTTTGGCAGAAGCAACCCAAGTGGCGACAAATTTGAAAGTAAAGGTATTGATAAAAGTGGTGACGTCAAGGTAGTTGTATCTCTAAACGTACTTTAGTTAAATGAACCACGGACAACAATAACGATAAAGTTTCCTGAAAGAAAACTGATCAGATCATAGACCGACAGGTGTTGATAGCGTACAGACAGTTTGGACGTGATATAAACGTACCTCTAGAGGAGCGTCTTAACACAGGAATGCACCATTAACATTCCGTGCATGCGCGTAATTTATTCACCACTATCATAATGATAGGCTGTTACATAGAGTTACTCTATGGGCTGTTATCAATATATCATATCAAATCACTATAATACGATATTATGGTTGTCTCATATAGAAATTATCAAATTATAGGAGTGGGGGAAACCACGCCGTAACATCAGCCGAAGCACAAATGTCTGTTTATTGGCTTTCAGCTTCATTTTGCTTGTTATGACTCCCGATTTTCATTAGCGAAACTAGACACTTTTATTAGGTCAGGCCAAATGAAAAATATAAAAAATGTTATTACGTAAATTTAACTATTATAATCCTTATTTGTACGAATTTTATCTGTATAACCCCGGGGGTGCCAAATTTTTAAATACGGGCCCGACGGTAATTATTTTTATTTTTTCAAAACCCCCCGGAAATTTTTTCTGCGTCCGTCCCTGTATATAATCATGAAGTATAATATATATATATATATATATATATATATATATATATATATATAAGTATAATTTAAGTCATTATATAATTTTTACATGTAAAACAACATATTGTGAAAATCTAAATACAATTAATTGTAAGCAGCTTAATATTGACAAGTTGAATCACAACACATGTTACAATGAAAAGCAATAAACAATGTTTCAATATGATCCTGGCTAATTTTATGAGTTTTCTAAAATTGTACATAATTTTCTGAATGTAATTTAATTAATTTAGTGCATTATGTAAAGCTATCAACTCATCATAAGCCCTTTACATATAGTTTTATTAAAAAATTTTAGAATATTAATATAATATCAAATGTCAAGCCTTTGATATAAATACAAAATATATGTATAAATAGTTCATACTCTTTTATTGTCATTAAAAATTGCACTTTTATAGAATTTTAGATTTGTGGCTTCTCTTTTTGAAAAAAACAGTTTTAATGCATTATCAATGTTATACATATTTTATTGTTATGTTTTGTTATCACATTATATCATAAAAGTGATAGTTAAGACAAAAAATTAATAAACCTTAAATTAGTTGACAATTTTGTATAAAAATAAACTTATGAGGTAGAATATTAAAATAACAAGTTTTACATATGTAACATAAAATGATATAATCAATAGTACAACATTAAATTATAAGAAAATACATATTAAACATGCTTACAAATCATATAATAATTAGTTCTTTATTTCAACAATAGCTGTAAATATCAAGTGATCTTAAGTTAATGTTATTTAATATAGTGTATTATTATATTAATTTATATTATTGATGAACCAATTACATTTTCAAATTTTCATTTTAGATCTACAATAAAAATAAATATGTGATATAGAAATTTAATTGAATGATATACAGTTATACATAATAAACAAAAAAAAAAATATTAAAATTCATCAATGGTAAAGAAATATTTATTAATTTCCATTAAATGGCAAAGATAAATAAATACAAGTATACAATAATAATAATAATAATAAAAATAGTTAATTTAATAATCTACTTAATTAGATCTACATCATGCTTAAAAAAAATCAGATTATAAATAAAGGTGTAAGCATGAAAAGAAAGTAAAAAATAATAACAAATTTAATTAATTAAGATATTTACGACATTTCCTCGAAAGACAGTGGCATGATATTTTATCATCTTCTAATGGGAATTTGTAGTCATATGTGAGTTCTTCGCCTTGGAATAATTTTCTTTTGGCCAAAATCATTATATGTTTTTTACCATGGATTGTTTCAATTTTAGAATGACAGTTGGGCTGTTTAGCAAAAATATTTCGTAAGATCATAAATCATAATAAATGTTCATCTAAAAGTAACAAATATAATTAGAACTAATGATATATTTACCTCACATGAGTGATTAATAAATCTAGAAGAATTTCCATTCATTGTGGCATCTACAACAATATCCTGATCAATCCTGAACATATAACAATCTATTCCTTTTTTGTTATAAAGCCTCTCACGCACATCACTCACTTCCGAACGAATAACCTAAAAGTTTTGACAAAATTGCATATCTGTTATACTTAAAAAAGAAATATTTATACTCACTTCACCAGTGTACTCAATAACATATTCGCCTTGTTCAATATCTCTCAAACAGAACAGTCCGCGGCCGTGTATATCAGATCGGCAGACACCAACTGTACTGGTTAACGCTTTATTCATATTCCTATACTTCATTTCATTAGGTAAAGAATTAGCACGACGACCACCAAAGTCTTCATTATTTGCTAATAATTTGGGAGGTTTTCTATGCCTAGAAGCTAACCAGCTAAACATGTCATATTTGTTTTTTCTAACAACTATTCCTGTGCGTGCACACCCTGAAGGATTTTCTGTAGTTGAGCCAACAACGTCAACACCTTTATGATATATTGCTTTATATTTAACAAATTCTTTAGCACCTGAAAGCTGCTCCAAAAGGTACTTCAAAAAATTATTGCTCAGGCCAAGAGAACGAATTGCTGCTGTTATATCACTTGTGTATGGATTACTTGAAGATAGCTGGGGCATTTTTCGTTCATTTCTTGATATTTGAACAGCTTCGAAAAGTTTAGACCAAATTTCAACCAGTGAGTGATCTTTACAAAATACACCATCAGCAGAACTCATTTCAAACATGAGATGAGGTACTATACGTTCCCGTTCTGCAGCAGCTGATGACCACTGGTACCCTATATGTGTTTGAATTTGAGATTTTTCTTGAATAGATGCCAATTTCTCATTTGAAAATACTTTTTCACTTATATCTTTGTATCTAAGATTATTTGATGAAAGAAATTCAGAATTATTAGAGTGAGAATTTCCATTGGTAGACAGTTTATCTTTTTCAAATAATCCAAGTGGTAAATTTTCTACATCTTTAATTAATGATTTTTCTACAGTGATTGGTTGGTTTTTTAATTTTGGTAATGATTTTATGTCTGTAACTGATGTGGATGAATAAGTTTCTACAGAAGGCGGGACTTCTTCATTTAGTTTAGTTGATAATGGTTTATTCAAATTTTGAGTGTATGGGCTTTCCAATTCCAGTATTGGTGTTGGGTTTTCTTTATTTAACTTATGAGTGAATGGGCTTTCCGATTCCAGTATTGGTATTGGGTTTTCTTTATTTAAAGAAATATATTTATTAGCAAATAATTGAGGCAGTGGTGGATTATCAAAGTTTTTTAAGCTATAAGATTGAGTATTTTGCAATTTCGTAGGTAAAAAACTGTTATCTTCTATTTTTAATGTAGAACTAATATTTTCTGTTATTTTTTGTGAAGGTGATACTTTTAATGTTTTTATGGAAGAATTAGAAGTTTTATGATCAAGTTTTGAAGGTGAAAAAATAGTATTTTCTGATTTTATAGTAGACGGCAAAATGTTTGGTGGTGATGAGTATTGAAATTTCTTTGGAGATGATTCTATATTTTCTTTGTATATTTTGGTAGACATAATTGTATTTTTAACAGGTGTTGAAGGTATAACCATATTTATCGAAGTTAATAATTTAGGTGAATGAGGTTCAACACTTTTTGGAAGTATTTTTTTTTCTTCAGCTCTTTTAGGTGAAACTTTCTGTTCTTGAATTTTTTTAGGAAGATATGTTTTTATAGTTTGTCTCTTCCATGGTTCAGGATTTACATTTCTTATGATATTCATAACTCCATAAGCTTGATTTTCTACAGATTGTACTAAGCTATTAGGTATATTTTCTTTGGTGTCATAGCACTCAGTTAATTTTAACTTACGATTTGTATAGACTTTTGGTTGTGTATATACCATTTTACGTTCAGTTTTTACTTCAGATGTAATATTATATGGCCATTCATTTGGAACTGTTGGCTCTGCATTAATGATATAGTACTGATTTGAAATAGGCTCCACAGATTTTGAAGGCTGGTATATTTGAGGCGATTGAGAAAAAGTATAATTTGAAGACATGGTAGTATATTGATCCAAACCAACTATCATAGGTTGAGAACTAAATATTAAGTTATTACTTTGAGATACATACATATTAACTGAATGGTTGTTTAGTACCATAGCAGTAGGATCAACAACTGATGGCTGTACTAACACAGTTGGTGGTGTAGTTTGATACTGAAAACATGGCATTACTGATTGAGCTGGAGTACTATTTATTGTTATATAATGAACATCAGGTATAGAAGGTTGTACAAATGAAGTTTGAATTGGCTGAAGTATCACAGTAGGTGGTGGTTGTTGCTGCTGTTGTGCAGACTGCATTGGCGCAACAGGGGTGTAATTTTGTTGAGGGATAATATGATCTTCTTTTAAAAGTTCTACTCTTACAGCATGTTCTTCTTTAAATAACAAACAATGTTCATCAACTTTTTTTTCAGATTTATCATCATCACTGGATTCACTATCACTGCCAATATCATAATCAAAATTGCAACTAGCTAAATGTCTTTCATAACTTAAACTAGTTCTATATGTCCGATGACATCGATTACATTTTACAGGTTGATCGTTAGTACAGTCATCAATCACATCTGTTAAATTGTCTAGTTGATAATACTCAAATTCTGATTCATTGTCACTTGTATCATATAATCCATCTAATTGTGGAATAGCTTTTGGCTTTTGTCCAAAACTATTGGAAAATAATTCCATTCTAGAAGTTTCATCTATAGTAGATTCAAATTCAGAATCTGTATCATAGTTTTGATAAGCAAAACAATCAATATTATCCATTTTACAACGTTTAGATTGAAAATTATCATCAATGGGACATGGTCTTTTTAAAGCTTCATAACATTTTTGTAAATTATCTACTTGAATAGATGTAAACAAATTAATTCCTACATTTTCAGCCTGAATAACATCAATTTCATTTTCTTGTTTATCATGATCAATAGTATAGTTAAGCTCATCAAATTTTAACTTTTCAACATAATTTTCTATCTTAGTAGTCCAATTGTATTGTATCAGTTTCCATGGTTCTTTAGTTGACCAATAATATCTTTTAGCTTGAAAATTAATAGGCAAAATGGATTCAACACTGTCAGATAGAATAGGGTGCAAATTTCCAATACAATTGATATATAATGAACCAATTAAAATGTGAATATCAGAACTTTCCGTACGTTTTTGTTTAATGTCTTCTTGTTCTATGTAAATCAGTCTTTCCAATGTAAAATCTTTAACACTAAAACGTGTGTCAGATGCATGATTGTTACAATATACAGTTTTATTTTCATTAAATAAACAAAATACTTTTCTAGCACATTGGAAATGGTAAGTTTTAACACAATTTCGATAACAACATCCAACACTTGCACCTTTTTCATTGCAAACAACACATCTTACTACTTTACTTCTAGAAAGAGCGAGCTGAACATTTTGTAACGACCCATCGATCTCTTCAAAAACTTCAGAAGACCATAAAGCACAATTGGCATGAGCCCACATATTATCACCACAATAAAGAAGTCTTCCTTCTCGCATTGGCATACCTTCACCTATTTTTTTGCAAAACTGGCAGACTCTTGTATCATCAATTTTTGGGGTCAAATAATAATTATTTTCATCATTACCCATTATATCTTGTAAAGCTTTAATATCAGAATTGAGTAAATTAAAAGATAATTTTGGAATAAACTTAGGTGGACTTATAATTGGTAATGATGTTGATGAATAGGAACTTTTATGGGGTGAATTCTTCTCAAACTTAGAATTAAACCAGGGAAAAACTTCAAAAACAATTTTTTTATATTCTTCTCGAAGTTCAGGCACATTGAACTTATTAATAGTACTTAACATATCATCATTAAATTGACAAAGGGACTCATATTCATTGTTATTTACTTTTTGTTTTATTGTAACTAGAGTCGGAGTACCTTTAGACCATCCTTCCAATCCATGACAAACACATTGCTTAGGAATTTCATCAATTGCTTTTGGTGTAACAATATTAGGTCCATCAAGAGATGGAAATTTTGGAGTGATCAATTTTTTACAAACACAACCTGGTGATTGTTTTTGAGGACTCCATTTGATGAGATCACATATTTTTTTATTTTTTCCAAGAATTATTAGAACAGTCATAAAACTACTTTTTAATGCTTCATCAACATATATACGCCACGGGGTTGTACTATCTGTAATACAAATCCTAAAAATAAAAATATTTTTTAAAACACATAATTTAAATTATATTTTATAAAAATTGGTTGGGTATATGGATTTTTAAATCCATTACATTTTCAGAGGGTAAATCTTTTATAATTAGAAATTATGTGCAACAATATAATTAGACTTACTTGCAAACATACTCTACAATGTCAGGTAATGTACTCAAGACTTCATATTTTTCATTTGATAATCCTTCACATTTTGCATGAACCCAATGTTTACAAGTAGCACATTCCATCATCTACAATATAATCTAATTATAATTATCTTATAAGAAAAACAATATTTTTATTTACTTTTGTTTCAAAATCATCAGGTTCATAACATTTTTGACATAAAGGACAGAAATTACCACGTTGTCTTAATTGAAAACATACTGAGCATAAAGCTAAATTACCAACAAAGTAATCGACTCGAGGAACATGGCAACTTTTGCATTTTCTACAAGGTGGACAAGCCTACAAAAAATAATTAGTCAAGTTCAGTTGCACAACATATGAATTCAATCATAATACCCATGGCCTGTTTCGATCATATACAATTTTATCAACAAGACAATGATCATGATAGGAATCCTTACACCTTTGACAAGTTAATTTTGGTCTTGTTTTACCTCTACTTTGACATCCTTTACAAATCTGAAGAAAAAAAAAACATTTAGAATTTAGTTAATTTTATAGATTTGATGTTTTTTATATTTAACAACAAATAAAAATACATTAATATTTAATAAAATAAAAATAAATAAATTCAATATTAACATTATTTAAATAATAATTTATAAAATTGAATACAAATTTAATTCCCTTTGAATTTCCATTATTCCTTTAGACTGCAATTATATTTTTACCTTACATTTAGGACACGTCCAACTAATTTTTGACCATTCACTTTCGTGAGATGAAATTCCAATACCAACACCATCGACACAAAACTTATGATAAGGTTCACAACAAGAAACACAATGGATTAACTGCAATATATATCATTATGATTAATATAATAATAACTTTTAAATATTTATTAAATTAATACTATAAATTACTTACTTTTTCCATTCCAGCACTTCCACATAAATAACAAACTGCTTGTCGAGGTACTGACATTGTTTCTGTTCCCACAATAGCAAATCCATTTTCTGCAATCCTATCTGGGTCATAACTTTCTCGAAAATTCAAATCAACAGTAATGTCATCTTCAGAATTTTCAATGTTTGCATTTAGGTGATCTTGCAACATAAGATCTTGGAGAGTTCTCTAAACATATGTTATCAATATAATATATCTTTTATTAGGAAATGTAATGTTTAATAATAATTATTATTTACATTTGGTTGAAAAGAAAGGTGAAAATCTTGTTCTTTAATAATGGGTATTGATATTTTTGAATATTTTATAGTACTAGATAAGTCCATAGTATTGGTAACACTAAAATTAAAACAATAATATATTAAATACTAAATAATAATTTCATATAAATATATTTGTAATATTTTCCACTATACCTTGATTTATTTTCTGGATTATTTCCATCAGTTTTAATACACTGTAATGAATTAATATCCACTGGTAACACTAAATATAAACACATATACTTAACTATATTATAAATTAAAGCACAGTTTAAAATTACATTACTTTGATAATATAATAATTTTCTATGAACTATTTAGTTTATAGGAAATTAACAAACTTCAATGAATTTAAATTGATGCTACTAACTATTTTCATATAATACAGGCATACTTATTTATATGATGAATATTTACAACAAGAAATAAAATATTCAAATATTTTCCGATACAGTAATCCTATATGATTAAAAATCAACTTGATAAATAAGGACATCATAGTTCTGAACTACCAATCAAAGAATTATTCATAAACGAACTAGTTCAATAATTATTACTCCGTATTGACGAATCGTTGATGAAAGATTAAGGTACTAGCTCATACAAAGTAAAAGGTGAACGAGTTGTTCATCAAAAGTGAACTAGTACGAAACCGGTCACTTGGGTAAATAGTTCAATTGAACTAGTTCGTTCATGAACGACACATCTCTATTATGTACAAAAAATAATTGTTATTGTTGTGTGATATAACCACAGATTATATGAATAATAAATAATATTATAGACATTATAATATATTATTATAAAATGCTGTATATAATATATATCTGTATTATACAATGGTGGTGGCACTAGTGATGAACCAGTTCTTTGATTTGTTGTAAGTGGATACAAGTTACACTATCATTTTTTATCTAATTAATTCTAATGACAAAAATAACAAGATTTAGATAGGTACTTTGAAATTTACTCGTTTTATGTTTATTTCTTCATGAAAATATTGATATCTACTACTAAATATTAGTTTATATGAGGGGTTCATGAAAAAAATGTACAATGTAAAAACACATTTCAATTACTACTTGGGCTTGAAAGTCAATGTTCTGAAAAATATGTACTAATTATTCAAATGCCTAGATAAATAATACTTTTTCTAAATATATTTAATGCATTTACCTGAGTTCATAAGTAAATCAAATTTTGATATTAAATAATAAATCAAATAATCAAATTAATAGTAATTCTATTTTTATGAAAGAGTTAGCTAATATTTATTTTTGTTACATTTATGGCAACAGTTTTCGCTATTTTGTTTTGTTTTTTTATTCATATTATACAATAGAGTTAATAACTATATAAAATAGAACTAAACAGTAACACAATAATAATAATTATTTTTTTGTACATAATACAGTAATATAGATAATATAGTAAAATGATAAGAGCATCAACCGAAATTGAATTGATAATAATGTGCATGGATTAGGGTGGTTTTGATCAGCTCATAATAATATTAATTTTATATATAATCATTACATTATAATAATAATATAAATAAGAAAATTTTTTGATCAATAAATAATTTCATATGTTATTATTATATTATAGTAATAATAATAATAATAAGAAAAACCTTGACCAATATCGTCTAGACTACGAGAGAGAAAAAGGTCAAACACTGATGGCAAAAAAGAGCAATTTACACTGAGAGCAAAACTTCAATAGAGATGAAGAAACATGCCTATACACAGGTACTAAAAAGAAATCCAACACCCAAGATATTGATAACAAATACCATTAAAAGAACAGGAGACATTTATATAAAATCGGAGGATTTAAATACAAGAACAGCAATTCTACAAAGTAATCTAAATGTTGTGACTCAGACAACAATAAAACCAAAGGTATTTGAATTTATAATGTCAACAGCGAATATATTGCAGAAGAATTAATTGATGATCTCATACATCAAAATTCAGACCAATAAACACCCTCACTAAAAGATCATCTTTAGGACAACTATTGTCAAGAAAGGTATCTTGGTTAGTAGAAGTGGATTCGATAATTTATAAAATAATAGTGAATAAACAGTTCTATATCATCGAAATGGCATACTGCAGAGTACAGTCATATGACCAAGTATAAAAACACCAAAGATAATCATGGAATACAGAGATATAAAGAGCTAAAGAATAAAAATAATAGAGAAACAAAATTTGCAAGAGAGGTATGATTAAAAGAAAAGTGCCAAGAAATGGAACAATTTCATAGAAATAATAGGATGGATCAAGAATTTAACATAATTAAGAAATTTTTTACCAAGTGAAATAGCCAAAAATAATAATAATAACCCAGATATGCAGGGGGGAGTCATCTTAAGAGACGAGTTCAATAAAACTTTGAAGCTAATGAAAACATGTAAAGCAGCAGGTATAAACGACATAGCAATGGCACTAATCTAAAATGTGAGTACAGAATGAGGTATTTAAATTAGTGAATAATATATACATTACGGGAGAGATCCTCAAAGATTTCAAGGAGAGCATTATAATACTTATACCTAAAAAGGCAATGGCTCATAAATGTAAGGAATTCAGAACAATAAGTTTAATGGCACATGCAGCCAAAATCCTAATAAAAATAGTATGCACTTAAATTGAGAACATAGTAGAAAAAAAGTTATGCGATTATCAATTCGGGTTCAGAAGGAACAAAGGTACTATAGAAGCAAAAAAAAAAAATTAAAAAATTAAAAAAATAAAATAAAAATATTAATAGAAAAACAAATAGAATTTAATAAAGACACATTTATAGCGTTTATAGATTTGGAAAAGGCTTTTGATAATGTACCATGAAAATAACTATTTTATACTTTAAAAAGAATTGGAGCTGACTATAGAGATATAAGGATAATATATAATTTATACAAAGACTAATTAGCTACGATATGTGGTAATTAGGAAGGGTGTAAGATAAGATTGTCCACTCTCGCCAAATCTATTTAATATCTATATCGAACAGACTATTAAGGAAATAAGAGAAATACTGCACAGAAATAATATTGGGAACCTAATCTAACCTAACCTATAGGCATATAGTTGGGCGCAAAAATAATATTCTTCTTAAGATTCGCTGACAATTACAATTACACTACTAACAAATAATGACCATGATTTGAAAAAAGCACTGAAAGAAATTATGAGTTGCTTTCAAAAATATCATTTGATTATCAACTGGCAAAAAACTAAACTTATCATGTGCCAAAAAGAAGAATGAATCCATAAGATAAATATTCAAACAGGGAACAAGCTGCTTAAACAAGTAGAACATTATAAATACCTAGGTAGTATAATCAACCAAGATGGAATATGCGTCATAGAAATAAGATCCAGAATCGCACAGGCAAAGTCAGCATTTAGGAAAAAGAAAAAATTGTTATGTTCCAATAACATGAGTATTAAGATGAGAAAACGTTTCATGAAAGTATATGTATAGAGTGTGGCACTCTATGGTTGTGAAACATGAATATTAAATAAGGCATAACAACGAACAGTCGAAAGCTTTGAAATGTGGTGTTGGAGATGGATGCTGAGAGTGAGTTAGATACAACACCATACCAAGGAAAACATACTCAGTGAAATAGATGAACAAAGAGAAATACTCAAAGCCATCAGAACAAAAAGATTGAACATAATGGGTTTGCAATAAATATTGAGACACGAAAATGAACTAACCCATGGAATAATATAAGGTATATTTAAAGGTAAAAGGAACTGAGGAAGTCCGATCAGTGGCGTATAAAGGGGGGGGGGGTTCAACTTCCCCAAAATGTATGGTTAGTACGACCCACGTGTGCATTTCTTTAATCTATGTATTCATTAAAACCAAACTGTCTAGTATGGGAAAAAAATGCTCTCTCCTAATTTTTAAGCAAATTATACGCCCAATTCTTACCTACGCTTGCCCGGTATGGGGTAATTGTGCATCCTCGCACATCAAAAAAATGCAAATTATCCAAAACAAAGTCCTCAGAATAATTGCAAATGTTCCGTGGTTTGTCAGAAATCCAAATCTGCTATTGATACTTTGAATAAACTATCCGTTGATTTTTTTTCCAAATATATGGTGCTTAATGTCAATATTAGTAACTTTACCAGTCTCAACAGCGTCATTAGAAAGATCGTTTTCGATATTGAAAAGATTGATGTCGTGCTTGAGAAATAGTACAAGCGAAAATCGACTAACAGGATTATCTCTCATGTCAATTCATCGAAGTATTTCAATAAACACTGAAGAAGTGATAAATAATTTTGCAAACCTACCTCGAAAATTAGACTTTGTTTTGTAATTAAATTTATGTATTCTAATTTTCATAGTTATTAAAAATAAGTTAATTTATAACCTTCATTTAGTATATATTTTTTCATACCCCCCCCCCGAAATTAATTCCTATATACGCCACTGTGTCCGAGAACTTTATTTGTCAAGTAAATGACCTCTGAGACTGAACTAACAAGTTATACCAAACTGAAAAGGCTAGCTGGGAACAGAGAAGAGTGGAAAACGAATATCCAATGGCAAAACCAATTTTAAGGGTTGAATACCAAAAAGAAGATTTATTTATAATATAAATAATTCAATTGGAAAAAAAAAATAGTCAAAAAAAGCTTACTTAGAATATCATCAAGATCCTCAGTCTTATCATCAACATTTCCAAAAGTTGCAGGTGTTTTTCCCAAAACAGACTTAGCGCTGCGACATACGTGTTTAATTCTGGGGCCTTTTGAGTTAACAGATTTTAATTCTTCATTGAAATACAAAACAATTTATATTATGTTAAGATTAATAAAAAAACAATTAAAATAAATTATTTACCTTTAGTTTCGAATAAATTGGACATATTAACATTTGTGGATCGTAGAGATACAACTCGCTTAATATCATTTTGCTGTACATCCTTAGATAAATCCAATTTTTTTGTTTTTTTTCCTTTAATTATTTTATTATTTGATTTTTCTTCACTCTTCTGTTTTTTTGTAATACATCCTTTTTTCATGGTATATTCAATATCTGAATCCAATTGATCAGAATAAACATCTATGTCATTTTCACTACTATAGGAATCATTATTGCTTTCATCACTGTCTTCATCTAAAACAAAAAAGTTATTTATATTAATTTTTAATTAATTTAAAATGTATACATGGTATATATTATTTCTATTACCTTGTAAAGCACTAATTATTTCTTTGTGAAGTTTATAATCTCTGATAATTTTTTTTTTAAGATTATTATCTATATTTATTGTCCATGGATCTGGTTTTTTTAAGACCCAAATGAGTACAGGGACCATTTCACGAGGTAATGTGTCTAACAGTCTTTCAACAGTTGTTTCTGGTAACTTTAATCGCTTTAAACACATCTGAAGCCAACAAGCTTTACATCGAGAATCAATTGATACAATTCTTGTCATTCCATTTTGAGATTTAAGCCCATTTGGAATACGACATTGGCCTATTCCTAAATAAAAAATATAGTTAAATAAAGAAATACTAATCATAAAATCAAAATATTACCTCTTTCATTATTACAACGATTAATAATATTTTGATTTTCAATTGATTTGGCCATAAACTTTCTGCAAGAATCACAACTGTAAGCTCCATATTTTTTAGTCTTTGAGATTGATTTATAAAAACGAATAACACCACAAATACCACATTGTACTTCACCACTAGTCTGATTCATTTTCAATGGACCTAAAATACATTTGAGAGTTAAGATTATTAATTACTAATAAAATTAAAAATAAGTATAAACCTCCTTTGCATGATTTTGCGTAAGTGTAGTTAAGATTGTCATCTAAACAAGATACAACTGAAGGTAAACTGATACTTTTGTTTGACTTATGAAGTTCATACTTTATGTTTGCTTCCTGTTTAGCTTGCAAATATTCCATTTTACTATTAATACTAGGTTGTGTCTGAAACATAATAAAAACAAAATACAAGTAATTTATTGGATTTGTATGTTAATTTAGTTTAGTAGTACTTATAAAAATATTAGTAAAAAATTAACATTTAATAGGAATATCTCAGATTAATAAATTTTATACTACAAATATTTATAGATTAAATAAAATAAAAAAATCATGCTAAATACTGAAAAACTAAATGTAAAGTATGAGTAAAATTTGACTCAACATAAACTACAAATATGATATTTTAAAGGAATGAAATAAAATATTTATAACTATATTAAGTTAGTTTTACGTATATCTAAGAATATCAATTATTTAAGTAGGTACTTAAAAACTAAACTAAAACCAGATACTCATATGTTATTAATACTTTATTTATTATTAAGAAGTATATTACAATGGTTGAATACATTCAAATAATTTAAATAATTTTATTTTCAACAGCATATTTTTACAACTATAGACAAGTCTCCGGACAAAGACATAAAGAGTAAAATTTAAATTAGGTATATGGATAAAAAAATTAAATATGTTTAATTGTATTGTTAAATTAAAAAATATTATAGGTTTCTCAGTAAATGTTTTGTTAAATAAAATAATTAAATATTTTCAAAAAATAAAATAGACAACAAATAAGTATGAGCACTCTTTTTGAAGTAAAAGATAATTTTGGAAGACGATTAAGAATTTTCAAATTGTGACCAACTATTTTACTAACCAGCAAAGGGTCGTGTCTGCTAAAAACATCGTTCATTGTGGCATTTTGATCGCATAGTATTTCAGTCGTATCACTATGGATCTGGTTTTTGACTGCTGCAGCTCTATCATCACAGTTGTTACTGAATTCTCGGAACTCATGTTGCTAAATACGGAGAAAAAAAAACCGATCGCATTATCTTCGACAATCGTTCTAGTTCTGATGGTGGTGGAGCAATGATAAGGGATGTGTAGTGACTCTATTTTTTCAAGAGGGGATAACAACTTGTATTTGGCGTGCTACAGGAACATATTCCTACCAGATAACTAATCTAAATATTGCTATCTGTTTTCTTATTGTTGGTTGCGTGCAACTAGTAGCTACAAACACTTCCATTGTTCCAGAAAGAACTCACCTCTCCGTCATTTTTTAACGTTGTTCGGAACACATCGAACGCGATAGATATCATTCGGGCGTTCTTGGCCTCGTTGTCCACGAAATCCGACACACCGACTTGGACCATTGTCCTCGGACACCGCGTCCTGGGCGGTTTGCCAAGAAACCTGGATCGGACCATGTTAGCATTTCACTCGGACGTCCATAACGTACACCATCGCGAGATATTACCCGTAATAACGGCCGGACACATTGTTGGTGTCCCTATGTGGAAGGGTTTAGTAGAAAATATAACGTTTCAAAGGGAGAGATTAGAAAATTCGCAGCCAACCCGCGGACAGTGTTGTTCGCGTTTGAGACAGTTAAACTTAACTTTGTTTAAACGGTAAACAATGCACACATATTGAGTATGAAAACAGTTATAATAAAAATAATATTTAATAAAAATGACAGTAATATTACAATCGCGATTACTTTGTACGACCACTTCGACAGTTGACGGCCACAGCTGGGCGCAGCACTGCACTAATGCTATGTAAATGGAGAGTGTGAAAATACTATGGATGCGTGCAAGAGAGAGGAATAAACTGTAGACAACAAACGATAAATATTGCACACACACACACACACGAACCTTACGACAATCACAATAACGTATATGCGCGCGGATTACAGAGGGAGCGCGGCAAAAATGGCTTGTGATACGAGCGCGGTGACGGCGTTGACGTCACGTACACGCGCTGTCGACGATAGATATCTCCCGGTCACGGAACACCTGTGGTGGATGACCGCGGTGTGTGAATAATTTTTGCGCGCGCGCCCTATAATATTACCCACCGTATAGAATGCTGAAACGCGGAAAACGTCGTCGCTGCTGCACTCAGCAACCGACCCTGCTAATCTCTAATATTTGCTGCACCCTACACCTTGTAAGACCTACCCTTGAACGATTACCATTGCGTCACCTATAACTTGACCCCGCGACTTCCTATTGATGTAAAGTAGAACTTAACAACCACAGTGGTTTTTCTAAGTGGTTTTCTGTTTTGTTTAAATATACACATACACACAAACGCACTAGAAATATGCTTAAAAAATTATAATTAAGTTTATTTAAACAAATTAATAATAATAAAAATTTTACAATAAATGTTGGAAAAGAAATTGATATCCGAATGAGTCTTATTTTTTCAATGGATCAATCCTGAAAAATAAAATACATGCGTCAAATAAGAACAATTTTAAACAATGTTTTCTGTACTAACCCAAGTAATCATCCATTAATGTACCGATAGCAAACTGTAAAATAAACAATAAATATCTCAATATTTATTTATTTCTATAGGATTTCAATATTTGAAAAATACTTCTAAGTTTATACAGGTTAAAAGTAGTAAATTTATTTTATTATTCAAGAATTATAAATTCTTATGTTAAATGTTGGGGTGTGTGTCGGGGATGTGGAAAATTAAGATAAGTAGAAGTTAAGGATAAAGATGCCTGACCCCAAATAGTTGGGAGAAAAGCTAAGAAAAAAAAGAAGAATTATAAATTCATTGTTAATCTTTATAGTTTCTTCTATTTTTCTTCCAAAAAATTAAAAATATAAATTCTGAAATAACATTATTATATTATCACACTTTAAACTATATAGTACTTTATTATACTATAATAGTGGACCAACAGATTGAAAGGATAATCAAAATTGGAGCATTGGACAGAGATGGCTGGAGAGACACCTGTTTGACAGCATGGTTCTAGTGGCCGTATACCCGAAGAAGAAGTACTTGTATTTACTATGAATTAACCACATCATGTCCTATCATAGAAGTGTTATTGTATTCAATATGGATAATATGGATGTCATCTAGTATGTTTAATAAATATACTAGTCCAGTGCTTAAATGGATATTTTACATAATAAATCAATGTGTTTGCATATAGATTTATTTATATTGCCCAAAAGAAATATTTAATTTACGTTGTATTAATTAAGTTGTTTTATAATTTAATACAACAAACAGTTCAGTTATAAGTGAATAATGTACCTGGTTGTATTTTATTATATTGTTAGATATAGCAGTTAACATAACAGTTAGCAGTTTAATATTAAAAAAAAAAATACATACAATTCCAGATGCATCAACACGTGTTCCAACAATTTTTAATCTGATAGTGTCTTCTGGCTGAATTGCTATGTTCTAAAATCATAAAAAAATGTATAGTATTTTGTAATATTTCCCTTGAGGATTATCAATAGATAAAAATATACTAATTGTGCTTATTGTTGCTATGAGCAATGTGTTAGTTCTCACATCATAATTCACACTGAAGTGAATATTGGGAACCAAAAATGTATGACTTTTATTTCATTTTTATTTTAATGTTAAAATTAAAATTAAAATGTAAATTTATTATTATAAATAATTTAAAAAAATTGTTAACCTTCAGATAAAGTAGAAATACAATTTTTGGAAGTTTGTTCAAAATGTATATAAATAAAGTATATGTATATGTAAATATGAAAACAAATGCTATACTGTGAACATATAAAGTTACTTTGTAATGACAATATTAAGTAAGAAAATAAGAAGGAACAATGAGTTTTTAAACATTTGGTATCCAAATATAAGTACCAAATAGTAATATCAAATTTTATAGTAAAACTACATTCGCTATTTTAATATAATTTATTTGATAATTAAACATAAATTTACCTATTTGGAATCATAATACATTTGTGTACAAACCAATTTAACATTATGAATCAAGAAATTAATTATATAAAATAAATAAATGATTTAAAAAAATGTTGATTATATTTTTTTATATTATATAAGTAAGAAACTAATAAAAAATAGAATTTTGAAAAATTTCAAAAAATCTTTAATAGTAATTTTTAAATAAATTATCTTGAGTGATACTTACTTCTTCTTTTGATTTGTAACAGGGAGGTGATGTGTTGGGACAAAATTGTAGTTCTGATGGTATTGACTGTAACAAATTCAAAATACAAATTATTTATGTGACATTTTTAATGTATAATTTTAAATATTTAAAGATAGGGATGTATTTTATTTATTTTTATTTTTTTCATACAATACTTAATGAATTATTTAAAAATTAATTTTAAATTTTGAATAAACTGAGGAATGTATTGATTATACTGAAGTTTTTTTTTATGTTCGCACAGTTTAAACCAGATGGATCAGAGAGATTATCAAAATTAGGTTTTGTTGTGAATATTTTAAAAGTAATTAAGTAAAATGAGTACTAAAAATAATATTTTAAGATGAGAACTAATATTTAAAATGAAGAATAGTATAGACAAATATAGACAGTAAGAGTATAATTAAATAAGAGTAAAATTACATAACATATTCCTTTTTAGTCACAAATAAAAAATATGAAAATAAGCCACAATGGAATATTACCATTTTATATTAGCTTTGGATTTTCTGATATGAAGAAATCAAAAAAAAAAAAACTATTCGTTAAGTATAATTTATTTATACTAGTCTATATCTACTAGTAAAGAAACACATAAGTTTTTCAACATTTAATATTTTCCTAAAAAAAAAATAAAATCTTTGAGCTTTTTAAATGCTCATAAGCTAATATTATTTGTTTACAATATTGACAGCAATTTAATTCAAAATATTGAAAGATATTTTATTTTTCATACGCCTTCTAATAAATTTTAAGTTTATATAGAACATTTCATTTTTTTAAAAAAATGTGAAACTTACATGATGAGATATAAAACAAGATAGTGGTCCAATTTCAGCAAACATTCCTACTTTGTTTAATTGAGTAACTACAGCTTCCAAAACTTCGCCTTTAAAAGGTCGAAAAACTATAGCTTTATATTTTACTGTGTATACAACAAATCCTTGTCCAGGTAGAATTAATCCACAACCAATGTTATCAATATGTGTTACAGCAATTACAAATCCATATCTTTAAAATAAAATATGAAATTAAAAATAAAATTGTCCAGACTTATAATATGGATAACTTACTTTCCAGTACATGTGCCTTCTACTTCACGATACAACTTTTGTTTTACAGTGTCTAATAACTGAGGACCGAAGTATCGGGGATGAAGCAGAACATCATGTTCTAAAGCAATCTAAAAATTGTTTAAGAACATATTTTTTTTCGTTAAAATAATAATACACAAGGCAATAGGTTCAATATACTTACGTGATAAAACATTCTTCCACGATTAAAATGATATAATAATTATATATTATAATTACAAAAATTAACGAAAATACAAAATCATAAATAGTAAACACCGGGTTTATCAATTTATTTGTTATCGTATTATGTATTTATACAGTATTAAATTGTTTACATTTAACATTAATACCTCTATTAGTTAATCCAAATAGAAATTGAATTTAATCGGAAAAATTAAAATTAAAATTTCACTTATATCACAACTAATAGAAAACAGTTATAACTAAATTGGTTAATCGATAAAATGTAAAAAATATAATTTTTTTAAATTATATAAATATTGAAAAAATGTATATGTAATGTCTTTGGATAAAGTGTTATCTATTTTTCTATTAAAGTAAATGATAGTTATCGTAAATCATTATAACTCATAGCATTATCACGATTATAGATATAATAACCTATCTATAACGTGGCACTGTGTATTCTCTCTAGGTTTATATTATGATATTAATATAGTTAATAGTTTTATAAATATAAATAAAAATTACAGTGGTTGGAATCTAGTAATCTAATACGAGTTATATAGGCTAGTATTTATTACTTATTGAATTTAATTTATAATGAATACGATACAAATATCGAATATGAGACAAAAAACAAGTATTTTGGATAAGTCTATAAGTAAAGGTAAAGGAGAAATTAATATGAACTGTTTTGCACTGATGTTTTCTGAATTGGTTCAGTACTGTCAAGGGAAAGCACATACGGTTAATGAATTACAAACAAGGTTGTTACACACATTTTGATGGCATTTTGTACCGCAGTTAATTTATACATTTTCTTCTAGATTGTCCGACTTAGGTCAAGAAGTTGGTACAAAATTAATAGATTTGCATTTTGTACGTGAAAAGAACAGCAAACGCGAAATCAAATTATTGAATATGTTACTGTTTATAAAATCTACATTTTGGAAAGTATGATCCAATATATTAATAAAGAAAACTAATAGGAATTATTATTGTATATTATTTTACAATCAATATCAAATTTGTAGAATTTTTTTGGTCGTGAAGCTGATAAACTAGAACATTCAAATGATGATGATTCTACATATTATATTATTGAAAAAGAGCCACTTGTGAATAAATTCATTTCAGTTCCAAAGGATAAAGGTAATTTGAACTGTGCTATATTTGTCGGTGGCATTATCGAAGGAATTCTTAATTCATCTGGATTTGTAAGTATTTGTAACTATCAATTAAATATTAATATTTCTGTTTAAGTCACATTCAATAATATTCAGTTTAAAGTGAACAGTTTTATTAATACTCGTAATACTTGAATATTTTTTTCATTTTTGATACTTGGTATTGATAATTGTATTTCCATGCTATTAATTTTAGATAATCTCATGTACTTAACAATTTATTGCAATTAATAATTTTGCTTTTGCTATTTCAATTATTTTTATCTTATTAAAGAATTTTAGAAAAATATAAAAGGTTTTAAGTTTATAAATTCATCTCTTATTAAAATTTACAATTTTTTAAAATGGCTCCTTTCATATTTTTTCTAGTTTGCAATATTTGCACTGAATAATTTATCTACTATAAGCATGTCCAACAGTAGGTTCTTGATTTAAATTAGTGTTGGCCATTGCTAATTAATAAGTGAAAATATGACTTGTTCCTTAGTACAGTAATTAATAGATCTGCATAACTAATTGATTATAGACATTTTCTTTATATAAGTGTAGTCACTTCTTTATTAGTTTAATTTGATGGTAAATAAAAGCATTGATTTTATAATAGATCTATTCTATAATCAATGCTAAAAGAAACTATAAGTCATATATTTCATTACAATTTTTTACTGTCTTATACTATTCAAATTATTAATTTTTCCATTGTATATTTTATAAAATCAACATTAATTTAAAATTAATTAAATACTAAAAAATAAACAGGAAATAAAGTATAAAAAATATTTTTAGTTTAAAAATGTTTCATTGTTAAAAGTTACATAGATTACATAATTTTAATTTTTTGTTTTATTTTATTTAAATTATAAATGGGTGAAAACTCATTAATTTAATATGATAGTATAATTTGATACAATTTTATAATATAAAAATATTTTTCATATGATATTCAATATAAATTATTTACTGAACTTCTTATTAATAAAATATTTGTTATATTAACTACTTTTTATTATATTTTGTAGAATGCCAAAGTTACAGCACATTGGCATAAAGGTACAACTTATATGGTGAAATTTGAAGATCATGTTATAACTAGAGACAAACAAATGGATGAACGATAATATAAAATTTAATTTAATTTAAAGGTCTATAGTATCTGTTAATTATTCATAAATATATATATATATGTATATAGATTTGTAATAAGCTAAATATGCTTTAAAGTAAACTGAATATAATATAAACATTGAAAATAAATGAAGAAACGGAATCTTTATTTCATATATATATTTTTTTTTTTTTTGTATATGAAATTAATCTTAAAAATATTCAAATCATATAACCTAAATCTATGATGCATTTCTAAAATTAATAAAACATTTTATTTAAGATGAAGAACTTGGTTTTTCTGCTTTTGGACTGCGTAGTTTATATAATAAATATCCTACAGCTACGGTTCCATAGGTTGCACACACAATCTGTAACAAAAATGAAATGTTTTTAACATTATAAATTATAATCAAAAATTAATATAAAATCATAATACTCTAGTATAAAACAAAGCTAGTAAACATAGTAGTATAAATATTATATATAAATAATACTATATATAATATATATAGTATACTAGTATATGTCATATACTAATCATGTACTGAAAATGTAACTCAATGAACAGTTAAAATAATTGTATTCTCTATTAAAAGAAAATTGGTTTTTTTAATTAGTTTTATAATTTTTCAGTATTTTATTGTAAAATAAATTTTTATAATAATATAATTTTACATAAATATGAAACTCATAATTTAAAGATCAAATACATCAATTTTATTAAAATTATGAATTTTCAAATAAACAAATAAATTTAATATGTAAAGTAAAATAGGAAATTATTAATTATTATATTGAACAATAAATATTAAAATGAAGTAAAATGCCAATAAAAACTTGGAATTAACATAAGGAATTGATTTTAGAATTTTAAATAATTGGGTATAGTATATAATATTCATTAATTTATGAAATTAATTTTAAATTGGTTATAATTTCTTTTAATATTCATGATGAAATTGTAATTGTTGAATCTATCAAAATTATTGTCTTAAAAATAATTTATCAGAATATTGTTACTTATGTCTTGATACCTTCAACATTAATTTTAATGACTAAATAGAATTTTTAAGTTCATAAAATAATTGTTATTATATCGATAATATTGGAGAATATTAGAATATTTATGAAAACAAGTTCAGTAGAACCTAGATATCCATGTTCAGTATTAATAATATTCATTTTTTCAAAAAAGTATATGTATCAAAAGTAAAGGCACGTAAGCAGTATATTGTACAGAAGATTAAAGATGATAAATAATATTAATTTAATAAAAATGAAAACACAACATAATATATATATTTACGGAAATAGTTTATATATTCTTTAATTTCTGCAAACAGGAAAATTTTGAATTCTATGATGTCATGAATTAATTAAAAATTAGAAATGAAAGAAAAATATTTTTTAACTACAAAAAACCAAGACTAATTATTTCAAATGTCAAGTCCTGATTATTTTAAAACATGAAATAGTAAAAAATATATAAAATAAATAAATAAATAAATACATAGTTTAAATAAACTGTAAATAAAAAAATTAAGTTCAAATTTGTTAAATAAAAAATGTCCATTAACAGTGATTTTCATTTATCTACGTTGTTGTGTGCTGAAGTCGGTTGAATCCGGTTAACACACTTATTGCAATTCATAACGGTTTGAATCCGATTTCAGACTTGTGAAAAAATAAATCACTACACTGAAAGTATTTTATTAATGACGTTTATTTGAATCGATGCAACTATGTCCTTACAATGAAATGGGTTTTTTATCGACTGACGACGTTGACGCTTATATGCTAATACGGCGGCGGTCGACACGTATACAAAATGCTTACATCTACTATTTAAATCTTAATGAAAAACATTGGTTCACAACAACGTAACTTCACCCCCACCCCACCATTACCGTGAAAATCAAAGTTCTACTGTGTCTATATTTCAAGTTAATACAAATGTTGATGAATTCAAACCAATAAGCCATGATTGAATTATAAACTTAACTATTGAACAAAAATTTACGTTATGTTCATTAAAATTAACATTGCAATAATCAAATTCTTAAAAATAATTGACCTATGACCTTGAATTGTCATTGAATTGTTTACAGAAATGATTATTTTAGTTAAAACTCACGTTAACTCGACCTTTGGTCGTCAAAGTATTGAAGTATTTTCCCATGCCTGTTAACTTGGCGATTTCGGCTGGGTCTCCTTCTTCGTGTGCCATTCTAAACTAACAAAATTTCCAATTTGATGTAAATAAAATTATGAAATCGCATTGAAAAGTTCTCAGGTAAAAAATTACAAGGAAATAAAATAATTTTACTTGAATCGGTATAGTAACATAAAAATAATTTAATATTTTTTAATTATACCTAAATGGTTTTTTGAATAATCGTACAAACAAGTAGAAGTGTAAAATTCGATTGAAACAAAACACACGAGTATTATGTAAAGCAAACGATTTTCTTATCAATTAAGGCAACTTGTATAGTCCGCCGCTAGGAATAACGAAGGTAGAGATGGAATCTATAACAAAATGTCGGACAAGAGATAACATAAACTCATATGTGAGTACAGTGTTATCAACTTATTCTCTTATTTAAAAAAAAGGACGACATACTCAATAAAGAAAATATGAAAAAATGAAAAACAAATCTACTTAATTGCAATGGCGCATCTCTTTAGAACCTACATTTTGATGTGTTCACTTATCCGGTATCTTCTCTACATGGTGTATCTGGAATAGTGTAAATTCTGAATCATGATTAAAGATATTTAAATTCATATTTAAGATACATATATTAAAAATACATGCGGGTATAGTCAGTGGCGGCTTGATCATGAATTTTGTGGTTCACTGAACCACCAAAAAGTTTGGGGTAGATGTCATAGGTGTGAATACTTGGTCTTGACATCTGGCAGCGGTAGGTAATATAAAATTGGTAATTTGATAAAAATTAGGAAATGTTGTAACCTAATATGACTTTTTGGTAGGTGGGTAGGTGGTATTAACTATGCTTGAACCACGAACTGAAAAATGTCAAACCGTATAGTCTAACGCCACTGCAACCAACCACTGATGTATTTCAATAATTTTTCTTTTTTTTTTTGGTAACTATATTTTTGTAACTATCTTATAAAAATTGAAATGCATATTTTTGCATATTTTGGTAAATAAAATGCATATTTTACAATTTTTTATTGCATACAAATCCTAGCCCTGGTAATTAGATACTGTTTTTACTATTTGTTCATCACTAAGAAGCTAAAATCCTGGATCATTGGTATCACAATTTATCCACTCATTAATGTTTTCTTCGTCAACATTCTCTCCTTCAGTAAGAGATTTAGAAAAATTAGCCAATATACAATACGTATATATTTTTTCGTATACATATAAGTATGTAGACGATTCCGTGGAAGACAGCGGATAATCCGCTCGCAGATATTCGAGAGTAATCTATATTTTGTTTAAAGGAAATTTGGTTCTAAGGTTTTTTAAATCATTATTATTTATTAATTTATTCAAAATTCATTATTTTATTAACAATTAATACATTTATTTTTAATGAACAATTCTGTTATGTCTAATATAGTATATAGGCTATAGGCAAGTAATAAAAATTTTACATGCACTATACATCCAAACAGGTTTGTGAACTGAAATTCTAAATTTATATTAATACATTAATGATAATGATAGGGTTTTCAAAAAGGTATAAGATATTTAATATATCAAAAGTTATTAAGATAAACTAAGGAACTACTAAAGTGCTCTTGATCAGTGGTCTTCAACCTTTTTCGACCAGTGACCCACTTTTCTTATCAAACATTTTTCGTGACCTATGCCAGCTTCCTAAAACTAACTAAAACTAACCTAACCAGCTTCGTTAGCCTTGAAAACCAAATAAAAAGTTAAAATTGCTTAATTTATGTCATTGTAGAAGTGCTTTTATAACTGAATAAATTAATATCTATATCTATATATATATATATATACACATATATTTATCTAGGTATCTAAGTAATATTTAATTTTTGTTATAAGTTATGATACCAAAAGAACGCATGTAATAATACCGAAAAAAGTATATGTTATAATCAGGGCTCGTAAGTTCATGCCCTAAAAAATGCCTTAAAAAGTTAAAAAATATGCATTTATATGCACTAAATATCTCAAATTATGCACTTAAAAATGCTTACTTAAATTTTTTTATTTATATTTAATAATTATTTATTTTTGAAATAATATGAATTATCCATTCATTTTTTTCATAGCTATATTTTATTATTTTTATGTTACAATTAAAAAAAAAAATAGATTTTAAATACTATTTAATACTATTCCTGAGCTTCATGAACTGTGTATAATGTACGTCTTTGTCAGTTATTCATTTTAAATCTGAAACTTTTAAAACAAATTTATTCATTAATATTGAAATAACATTAATAACTTAATTACAAAATTTATATTTACCTTAGAAATTACATTGTACTATCATCGATTTTTTAATGTTGTCAAGCTTTAATGAACGACGGTTATCTGTGACTAAATTTTTGTATTTTGAAAATGACCTTTCAACGTCAGTAGAAGTAATTGGTGCATATTTAAAATACGAAAAATCATCAAGGATCATGTCTTCGGGTAGTCCTAGATTTGTCATACTTTCCTCTTCACCAGATAATATTTTGCAAATTTTGCAAATCATTTTGTAGCCGGCATTACTATTTAGAACTGAATCTAATTTAGTTTTAATACTGTCACTATGTTGCCCTTGAAGTTTCTTAACTATGCCACTTATTGTTTCGGTTATTTTAATTGAATCAAACAATGATAATTTTTGCTCTTGAAGTTGTTTTATGGCCGTTGGTAAACATTCAAAGTTCGATTTGATATAAATCAAATTTGCTTGCAGCGTTTGAGATTTCAATACATCTTGAGCTTTTTTAATTGCTACGCTATCATTTGAATCAAATGATTCGACAACATGCTTAATTGACTTAAAATGTTCACAATAATATATAGCTGCCGAAATCCATGTTCCCCAGCAAGTTAGAATTGGTTCTGGTGGTAATGCTAAATCAGGTTCAAATGTTTTGAATATTTGTAAGCGATGTGGGAATTTGCGGAAAATTTTTTTCACATTAGCCACTAAATCATCAACAGGAAAATGTGAACGAATGTCTTCTGCTACTCGGTGTAATTCATGCGCAAGACACGTTACATGCACCATTTTAGTGTAAAATACTTGTAAATGACGTGCTGCTTTCTTCATATAAGGCGCTGCGTCTGTTAAAAACAACAGCACGTCATTATAATGTAACCCTTCAGGCCAAATTAAGAACAATGATCTGTCAAACGCTTTACAAATAGAGCTGTGGTTTGTTTTATCAAGTTCTTCGACATTAATTAAAAATATTTCACCGGGGCCATCGTGTGACAGAATACCAATAATTGTGTTGACTATATACCTTCCTTCGATGTCAGTCGTTTCGTCCATTGAAATCCATATTTTTTTCCCATTGATAAGTTTTTTGATTTCATTCATTTTCTCGGTGTAGCAGTCATCAATATATCCAATCCGCAATGTAGATTCGACAGGAATATTTTGTCCAGTATACTTGGCGAGAAAACTTTTAAACTGTGGATTGGCCAGCTTGTTTAACGGAATGTTTGCTGCCAACATAGCTCTGATTAAATCTAAATTAAAGTCTGACTTTTTTGAAGTTGTAGGCATAAGTTGTTGCAAATTTTTCCGCTCATTATTTTTTTGAAATCGAATAAATGATGCTTTGTGTTTTTCAGTATAAATATACTGCACAATACTAAAGCGTTTTTCACTCGCTACTTTTATTTCACAAACCTTACAAAATAATATTTTACTGTCGGTTGAGAATATATTTTCACCAAAATCAGTAACTAATTGCTTTAGTTTAAAGGCCGAAGACGGTTTTTCTTTCGGCATGTTGGATATTATTATTGGATTTAACGAAACGAACATACAAGTACACACGTCAAAATAACGACTGAAACAGTCTCCAGTTAGAATAAAAGGACGGTTCGAAGAATCGCTCTAGTCTGGCCCCGATAACGCGGTTTATGAACGGATGTCGTTAGTCCTCGTAGACCTATTCGTTCCAAGAAACTATTGTTAAATTTACGAGTATCAAGAAGATAAGAAAAGAAAAGATAGTACAATTTCTATTTTTAATTTTATACATATTTTTCATTTGCATTTTTGATAGATGCTAATAGAATATTGTATAATATTCCCTGATAAAGTAGAAGTATGCATAAATATGCCAAATAGGCAAAAAATCTCTAAATATGCAAAAACATGCAAAATAAGATTTCACATATTTAACTATGGTACCTTGAAATAGATTTCTTTTCATCTAGCATTAAATACAACTTAGCAAGATTGATATGCAAATGCATGAACTTACGAGCCCTGGTTATAATATACAAAAGAAATTAGTGCGATATTTGTCCCGGACTTTTTTCACACGAAATACCTCCACCTCAGCTCAATTTCATACAGTTTAATAGATTTAACAAGTTAATTTAACAAGTTATATATATATATATGAAAATGTTTATATTGTAAAAGAGTAAATGAGTTATATGGATTAAATTGGGCTATCGCTATACGATTACTTCATTTGATTGTTCATTCTTTTTTTTTTTTGAAAATGAAGGCTTCAACAGGAAATATTATTAGCTAATAGATGTTACATATTAGATGAATTAGGTGTTAGATTTAATATTACAATATTTTATATGACATATTATATAGGTGAAGTAAGATGTAAAATAAGAATTTACTAATAATATTTGTGATACTTAAGAATAGGACAATATTCAGAGTTTGTTTTTCGCTAAGTACTTTAACTATGTTGAATGGCATGTTCAGGTTGGTGCGTATTGAGATATATTGTGTACACTCCTCCATTACGTAATGGACAGTTAATGATTAGTGGCATGTGTCATATATTGGTTTTTGATTTTTTTTTTTTTAATTAGGTATAAGTGAATAACAAAAAAGTGTTCGTTCTAATCTTCTACAAACTTATAATAGTATAAAATAATACGGTTTAGGGTTTGTTCGAAAACATTTTTATGCAATATAATATGACATACATTATATAATATTTATACATATGAATTTTTTAAATTTTAAACATAAAACTTATCGTGACCCATTCCACCGTCCTGCAAAATATTTTGTTATTTTTGTTGTTTGTATAATAATACCTGATCCTTATAGATCTTAATGCGCAAAATTCAAATCTGAAATTAGTTTGTCTCTATCACGTCTAGTTTTTTTACAAGATAGTATAACATTTACCTATACTATAACCTATACTAACCTATACTATAACCTTATAGGTTATATAAGCCACCTTGTTGACCTAATAACATTCCCAAAACTTTTAAGTCACCACAAACAATCCACTTATGTAGTGGATATTGAACTTTTTCTAACATTAAATGTAAGTTTTCGTAAGTTTCTTTTAAATGTACTGAATGTGCAATGGGAATAGACGCTAACTGGTTTCCGTTATGAAGTAAAACACCTTTTAGACTTCTTTTAGATGAATCTATAAACAACCTCCATTCATTCACATCATAATATTTGCCAAAATGTTTAATTAATCCAGAAATATTATTACAAAATACAAGTGGTCCTTCTTTTGAAAAAAATTGTTTGAATTCCATTTCACGATTCCTGTACCAAGAAAAAGTAGTAGTTTTTGCAAGTAAATTTTTTTCTTTGAGTCTCGAACCCAAAATTTCAGCTGCCTCTTTAGTAAGAGCTAAGTCACGTACTAAATCATTTAATTCAAATTGATTGAAAAGTTGTGGAGCATCTGTGGTGTCAAGTTGAAAGTCTTCGTCATTATTACTAGAATTGCCAGCGGAATCTATAGAAGTATCGTGGTTTAAAATAGTTTCGAAAGCTTTGGATGGTACAGGCACTGGTAATTCAGGGTCATGTGGTATTGGTCGTATAGCAGAAAGTAAATTTGGGTAAATTATATTCGATTTATTTTTTTTATTATAACCGGAAATATTAACCATACAAAAATAGCAATCATCAATATGATTTTTTGGTTCTCGCCAAACCATTGGTACTGCAAAAGGCATTGATAAACGCTTACCTTGTTTCCAATTTCGCAAACTTTCAACACAGGATCGGCAAGCAATATGGGGTGCCCAAGATTTATTTTGATCGCCTAAATGAATACCAAAATATTCTTGGTATACATTTTTAACAAAATTTGTAATGTTATTTCGTTGTTTCATTATAACATATTCACCACATATATAACAAAATAAATTTGAGTTGTTTTTACAACATCTTCTTTTAATTGGTTTAGACGTCATACTAAAAAAAAAATTGAAAATCAAAAATCGCACAAATAAACTCTAAGAAAGGTGATATAGGTACAACTCGGATATTTTATGAAGACTAAAATGAAAGTAACTATAGAGAATAAACATAAATTGTGTGAGTTTAAAAATATATTTAATTAAACTACTATAAGATAAAAAATTTAATAAAGATAAGATTAAAATTTCAGTAAAGTAGACGACATTCAGTTTATAATAATAATAATTCGACGAATATATCGCACATTATTGTATGACTAATGACTATACAGAAGAGACAATATTTATTATTCGAATTGTAGAAAAACTAGACGTGTTAGAGAAAAATTGATTACAGATTTGAATTCAGCGCTTCAAAATCTATAAATATAAGTGCAAAAAGTTAAAACAGCAAAGTAGTCGCAGGACGGTGTTCTTAAAGCTTACGCGACCCAAAATTGGGTCGCGACCCACTGGTTGAAGACCACTGCTCTAGATAAACCTATTCGATAAAAAGTTTTTATAGTTCCTATTTCCGTAATTATACACACCATAAACAATTGTATTTTGTTCGTGTTGTCGTGCGTATATAATACAAAAATGTCTTAGGCGTAATTAAAGTAAAAAAAATGGGGGGGGGGGGCTTCAGCCCCTCATATACATTTTTCAATCACTGCCTCTCAGAAGCTTTTTTTCCACCCTTTACCCTCTAAAAAAAATGTGCTTATTGGAAGGCAAGTAAAATTTAAAAATAAATAATAAAACAATAATTCGCTTTTAAGTATAGACAACAGATTTATTATAGTTTTTTACATTTTATATTCTTATTTTTCTATTTTTTTTAGCAAATGTATTTAAAATAATTTCGGTGTCAACAATAATATCTCTCTCATTATTAAGTATTGCAAATTTCGAAAACCGTACTGTGACATAGTAGACCTGAGATAATTATTAATTCTTATTGCAGAAAATGACAGTTTGCAAGTAGCCGAACTGACCGGAAGAGTGATAGCCAATTAAATCATTTTAAAAAGATTTGGAAACGTATCTTTAGATATATTTTCTTTGATGGTTAAATAGTTAGGAACTCCTTTTATCATATTTTTCAAAACATAATTATATTCTGTTGTGCCCTATAATAAGCACGGTCTAGACTCTAGAAATAATAGACATATGATTTAAGACCATGATTATAATATTGTTACTAAAAAAAGAATAACAAAAATGTATTTTATTCGTTTTTTCAGTTATAATCACATATTTTTTTTTATTTATTAATATAATAATATAAATTTCTGTATGGTTTTTGGGGGCGCTTTAAATGGTTTTGAGGGGGCTTAGTCCCTCCAGCCCCCCCTAATTGCGCCTATGAAATATGTATTTAGATTATCAAAGTATACCGGGGACCAAACGTCCTATGGCTAATAACTCTCCAGGACGAAACGTCCTATCTTAAAAATTGCCGGGAACGAAACGTCCGTGGACTGGTTTATTGTTGGGGACGAAACGGTGGGGACAAAACGTCCACGATTCATAAAATATATCATCTACAAATATTTTCTTACTAGATCATAGCAATTTTAAATTAGAATTTGTAGAGTAGAATAAAATATTATTTACTGTGTCAGTATTTTGTAGAAAATTTGCTGGAAACAATATTATATATTTACAAAATCCGAAAATGTGTTATTATAATATATATGTTATTTTCTTTTAATACAAATATAAATCTTTGGCGGAATCGATAACTCCCATTATGACATGTCCAATCATTAGTTTCCAATTTTGAAATTCTGATGTTCTTTATTGGAATTCAATTTGGGAATTTAAAATTGTGTGACATGTATAGTAGTAATAACATTGACTATATATTCAGAGTCTGTGGTAATAAGGATACTCAGACATCTATATTAATAATCAAATCTATATAATTGTAAAAATGATCTATGAAAATACTATAAATATTCTTTAATCAAGGCAAACTTCACTTAGAAAAATGTCTATTTGGTAACAGACTTATGAAAATTAATGAAATATTGATTAGACAATTGATAAAACCTAAAAACTTAACCTCAAAAAAACTCTGATGATACCAACTTTTGAATATTACATGGATAATGGTTATAATGTTGTTCTTGTTTGATTGTATTCAAAACAAAGTTTTCCGACTGTATAGTTATTTATTATTTCTTCCCACATTGTACGATTATTATAATTTACAGGTAATACTTTTCTGTTGAAGAAAAGCTTTACTGGTAAATTATAATTAAACGTGCAAATAATTTGTATTTATGATCCGGTGTACATTCTAAATATACAGTTAATAAATGAATCTTGAATTCAGCTAGAGACTCGTCTGTTTGTTGATGGAAGTGTCTACTTGTTTTGTTTGAAGTGTTTTTTTTTCGGTAATTGTTTGAAATATATTATTTTTGTGTGCGATTTTGTGCGTAAAGATGGTTGAAGAGTATCGTACAGGTTTCGGGCAAGTGGACATCGTTGATGATGACAACATGGTCCGATTGCCGCGACAGCGTATTGTCGATATGTATAAAAACGCTATGTCGCGCGTTCGTGTTTTAGAAGCAAAGGCAAACGAAGGTACTATTTTCTCATTGCGATTTGCGAACTGCTCATACAAAAAATTATATTAGTAAATTTTTATTTACGTACTTGATACGAAAAAGTGATATAACTTATGGCTATAAAAATAAAAAAATCTCAATAGCATAAAAATTTAAAAATAATGTTTTTGTTGTTTCAACACATTGACTGCAAATTAAGGTTTTTTTCTCCAGACTGAGGGTATTTACCTTTAAAAGGTAGGTCAATACAAATATGATTTTGGGAGTTCATATTCGTAAGTAAAAAAAAAACATGTTAGTTTGTCTCAAATTTTTTAGTTGAGAATCTCATAACTTATCATCTATTTAATAATTATTTTATAATGTACTATTTTTTCAGTAACACTATGTAGTAGGTGTAACAAAAGGTGTGAAAAGAAAGAACGTACAGACCAAGATTTTCGAGAATTGGTATTGCGTGAGAAGTGTTTACTAAGGAAACTGGCTAATAAAGAACAAGAAATACAAGATTATATTGTAAGTATTTGGATATATTATAGTTATAACTAAAATATAAATTATATATTGAACAATTATTTCAGAATTTATGTATAACGTAAGAGTATAAGTATATTATTATAATTTTATGTAAAAAAGGAATTATAAAATTTGTTCATTTTTTATAAAGTAATTATTATATTTTTATTAGAGATATTTTTAATTTTATTCATTCAATTTTAAATAAATATAAAACTTTTTATTAAATAATCGGAAATCATAATGAATAGTTTTTTTTTTTAACTGATTGATTAAATTTCTGCATTTTAACAATCATTTATAAACATATATGAATATTTCAAAGTTTGTAAAGTACTTATCAATTAATATGACAATCTTATCATTAGGTTATATTATTGTAAATTTTACTAACATTGTTATCATTATTAGCTTAATAATAAGGTTCTTATATTTAAATATATACTAATACTGTATTCTTCAATTTTTAATTTTTAAAAAATATTCATATAATAACTAAAAGTTTTTAATATTTTGAAGTCATTTATTAATATTTATACTAGGTACCTATTTTTAATATTAATTAAATATAATGTACAAAGTAAAATAAAAAATGTACTAATCAATAGTTATAGAAAGTTTCTTTTGGAACAATATTGGGAAATCAGATACTGATAAATGAAGATTTTGATACAAAATATGATTATTTGAGAACAATTGAATAAATCTAAAGAAGGTTATTAAAATAATAATTTTGGAAAAAGAAGATAGGATTATGTGGTCTTATTTGTGAATTGGTCAATATAACATTTAAATGGTTGTAATATGTATTTAAATCGATACACAACATTTAGGTTTAAATAATTAATTAATAGATCAATGCCAATTTGTAAATATATATTTTTAAATGTAAACTTTTTTCAAAATGTTAACTGCTTAAATAAGTTTTAAGTTTTGAGCGTTGATAACACTTAATACTAATTATTCTTTAACAAACTATGTGTTTTATTATATTATTTTAAAATTTATATTTATACCTTTAATTTATAAAATTAAAATCGAAATATTTTCTTGTCAGGCACAATTGTCGGCCTTGCGAAATTCCATTCAAAGTAAATCAATATCTTCATTGAAATGTTCATTGCAAGATCCAGCTGTAAATCTTTTAATTCAAAGGTTACGGCAAGATTTAAGTGCTACCAAAACTAGATTAGAGGAAACTCAAAGTGAATTAAATGCTTGGAAATTTACACCAGATAGGTTAGTTCAATACATAAATTGTCTTATTTGATATTATTTGATAAATTACAATTTAAATGTTGACAGTAATACTGGGAAAAGGTTAATGGCTAAATGTCGTTTATTGTATCAAGAGAATGAAGAACTCGGTAAAGTAGTTAATAGTGGACGTATTGCTAAACTCGAAGGTGAGCTAGCATTGCAGAAAAATTTTGGCGAAGAAGTTAAAAAATCACAATTAGGTAAAACTTTAGTAAATATATTGTTATATATATTTATATATATAAATGTATTTAAGAATATTTTTATTGTAGTTTATAATTTAGTTATAATTTATTTTACCAGAATTAGATGAATTTTTGCAAGACTTAGATGAAGATGTTGAAGGTATGCAAAGCACAATATACTTTTTGCAAAATGAACTTAAAAGATGTAAAGAATTGGTTCAAAATACAGAAAGCAAAGAGTCCAATTCAAAAACTATTGTTAATGGTATTAAAAGTGATAGTGATAGTACGATCATCATTAATACACTTCCAATATCTAAAACAGAAACTCCAACTCTGTTGGAAGAGTCAAAACTTGAGAGTAAACCAAGTAAACCTGACAAATCAAAAGATCCTAAAAATGCAAATATTAATAAAAGTAATCAACTTAAAGTAAAAAAATCACGATCACTACTAGCTGAAGGCACAGATCAAAGTGGAAAAATAAATAAAACACACAAAAGCAAACACAAATCCGATTGTAGTAAAAGTGAAGAGAAACGTAATAAGTCTGAGAAAAGGACCCATAGTAAAGGTGAAGTTGTTCACAAAAAGTCAAAAAACGATAGGCCCAAAAGTACTGATGTTAAGACTCCCATTTCAACAGTTAATGGACTACCAAATGGTTCATAAAAATTGTTCAAATATACTAAATTTTAATTTTTTTTTTTAATCATTGTTTATTGATTGAATTAAGATCCTTATTGAATTATTTTGTAATGTTACTTTTATATGTTTAGGTTTGAATAAAAACTAAATCTTTAATGGACTATTTTAATTTTGTTATTTACATGAGTAAAATATAAATATTTAGAATGTTCGATATCTCTAATACAAATATATTTTTTTTTTCATCAAATATGATTTTAAAAAATACCTGAACGAAAATATTCTAAAAGAACCAGAAGTTAAATTTTAATATTGTGAATGGTTTTTAAAATATTTTAAAATCATTTACTCAAAGTATAAGGTTTGAATATAATATCTCACTAAGGATTATTTTGGCACAGCGCAATTTTTATCAATAAATCATTCTGATTAGGTTCTTAAGCATGAAGCTAAAACAATCTGAAAAATTATATATATATAAACTCAACTCACTTAATTGAACATATTCTGTTAAAATTATCCAATAATTAATTTATCAACTGTTTCGCGATAGTTACTTTTCATTTTTTAACCATTTAAACTAAAGTTTTGAAATTATTTCCCACTAATTTCATGGAGGAAACAATTATTTAAATTGTCATAATCTTGAAAACTATAGTACTAAAGTGTTCATGGACTTCATATATTGTATCTATTACTACGTTTATATGATAGCGTTAAAACGGTTTGAAATTAAGACCTATTAACGTCATGTAAACACTTAAAAACGGTTTAAAAAATGTAAACCGTTTTAAAAGTTAAAACGCTCACGCTATGAAGTTTAAGAAATTAAAACCGTTTTATATGCTCAAACCGGATTATCAAATGTACATATAAACGCAGGATATGTTTTGCATTAATACGTTTATCACAATTATTGTGATTCATGTTATCAGTTATCACTTATCAGATTTTGTTTTTATATATTTATTATTTAATTATATTAATTTTTATATATTATTATTTGTATAACTTAATAATAATTTAATAAGAACACAATAAATGCAAAATTATAAATATATTATGAATCAATATATTACTTATCAGATATCCTCCTGGAACAAACGACCAAAGTCATGAAGTAAAAATATTAATTTTAAAACGGTTTATAAAATATTAGCTAAACCGATTTAGTATATATTTGTGTATAAACATCTAAAATTGGTTTAAGCTAAACTGTTTTAAATAATTTTAAAACGGTTAAATTTTAAACTGTTTTAACGCTATCATATAAACGTAGTATATGTGTCTATGTATTTACCATAAACATTAAAGAGTACCGCAGAGTAATTAAAATATTCTTATTACTCTGTGGTACTCTTTAGAGAACACTCTCTAGTGTTCATGGCATAAAGTCTTCTATTATCTATGGTTTTACAGGTAGAGACATGATATCGAAAGAAAAGTATCGATACTTTCACTTGGTAACGAATGGAATGAAAATAACGAAACGTAACGACCGGTATGAGTATCAAAAAAAAAAATGTTGATCCTTTTACTAAGTCCTATCATCATAACAAATATAATTAAAATATTGATAACAATAAAATATGAAAACGACCTATATGAATAAGTATCAAATGAAAAATTATTTTTATATTTTAAAGTTTTCTTTCTCCAAGTTAAGAATGAATTCAAAATGTTAGTATATCTTAAAATATGCCATTTTACTAATATTTAATTAAAACTAGTTATGGTTCATGAACCACAGATAAAAATGCTGTATGTAAACAAATTTTTAATTGTTTCCGCCAAGTACCTATATCATTATTTGTAATTTATATTTCATCTAATCGGTATATAAATCAGTAAATCTAAACATATTGTATATTTTGTGCAATACTTTTTACTATTTCCATGGCTAAAAATGAACTCAGTATACATAATTTATGATAAAAAGGTTTATTATAAACCTATTGACAATATTGTATTGTGGACTGTAGTTTCTGGTTCATGGAAATAACAAATACAGTCGTATAAAGTATAGACTTTAGTATGATGACCGAATTTTATAAACAAATTCTCTACCATGCGCGCAAATAATTTTTCTAGAAAAGAATTATTCTTTGATACCATTCGACCATTCGAGTACTTTTGATTTTTGAACCATTATGGTGGTTAATAATCGATTTAATGCTATACATTCGATACCAGTATTTTTTTATCGATACAAGTAAAGTATTGAGAGATACAAAAAGTACTTGTATCGAAAGAAATGTATCGATACTTTTTTAATATCAGTAGTATCGCAACATCCATAATCACGAGGGCTCTTCTGTAAATTTTTGTCTTTTCGTGAACACTGATAGTATGTTTATGTTGCTGTGATGTTTCAAACACCGTTTTAATTTGTTTCCTTGTCAATCAATCTTGTTGTCCAACAATGTTTCATAGCGGCCCTTCTATAGGTCAGTGACTAAGTGTACCTTTTGGCCAAAAGAAGAGGAACAATGCCGAAACGTCACACATGGTATGGTAGAACTTGCATCTTATTCCTTCTACACCTGATTATTACATTTTTTATTTACTTAAACCACTAAAATGTCAAATCTTCAACATAGTGGCAACTTGAGGTAATTTATGTAAATATTAAACTTTACCATTCAAAATAAGAAAATAAATATATATATTTTTTATAACTTCCAAGGTAAAAAATTCCATTAAACTATTTTATATTCTCCTTTCATCATATACAACAATTATTGTTCAATAATCTTTTTCAGAAATGCTCCTGCAAAGAGTGTCCTTGATGTGGTGATATAGATATTGGCAAATAGTGGTGTATCAAATCGACTGAGTGATACCGTAATAGCTAAAAATTTCTCATTATAGATTGATATTAATGGTATTAAAGATGACATTAAAGAATTTTCCAGGTCTGAATGCTATAAAAATTTGTAAAAGTAAATATTTCCTTTTAATAAAACTATTAAATAACTTATTACTTTTCATAAAACATTAATTATTCATATAAACATTTAAACTTGATTAATAAAAAATCAGAAATAAATCATAAATTTAAATATTTTTTTATATTTCTATAATATTTTAATAAGTTATAAAACAATCATATTTATACCATTAAAAATGAAAAAGTGATCCCCGGATCCCGGAGGACTTTTGATTTAGGTAAATGAAAAAAAAAATCTCAGTTTTGAAAAGAACCATAAAGGAAATTGAATTATAACAATATTATTTGGTTATTAAAGGAGAGTAATTATATAAAGAATATATATAGTTAATATAATTTATTTAAAATGTTTAAATTAATTTAAGTAAATTACAAAATTATCATGTATATACCATTGAAAATGTAAAGTGGAAAATGAAAAAAGGTTACTTAGCTCCTGAAACAATTTTGATTTTGATAGATGATAAAAATATCCCAGTTCTGAAAAGAAAACATATCAGATTTATTAAGATAATTTACGTAAATTATTGAATTTGATTTTTATACCATTAAATATTATAAGTCTAAAATTCAAAAACAAAAACGAAAAGAGGATCCCCGGCTCCCGGTGGAAAATTGATTTGGGTGGATCCAAAAAAAAAATCCAGGTTCTGAAA